AGTACCATAAAATGGGAAACTAACAACAGAAATATATTTTCTCATTTTTGGAGGCCAGAAGTCTAAAATTAAAGTTTTAACAGGTTTGGTTCCTTCTTAGATCTGTTTCCTTGGCTTAGAGATGAGCATCTTCAAGTTCACATTGCATTTTCCTATATCTTCAAATTTTCCACTTTCTGTACTTGTCTGTGCCCAAATTTTCCCATCTTATAAGGACCCCAGTCACACTGGATTAGGACCTACTCTAATAACTATTTTAATTTTATTCTCTCATAATTTCCCTATCTTCAAATAAGGTCCTGTTTGGAAGCCCAAGAGGTTACGTTTTCAACATAGGAATTTTCAGCATCACAATTCAACCCAAAACATTAAAATTACCATCTTTTGGGCATCCACTATTCTCCAGGAACTTTATACTAACTCTAAATTCATCCCCTTAGATCTTAAGGAAAAACACTTCTTAACAATAGAGATCTAAGGTTTATTACTGTGCCTGACCAACCATTACCTTCTAAATAATAATACACTTGACCTCTTTTGATATTCTGTGGTAGACCAATCACTAAAGTAAATACAGAAAACATTTCTAATAAAGTGTTAGAAATCATACTCTGAAAACTTCCTAACCACAGAACTTTCAATGGAAAATAAAAATTGGTGATAGGATTTGAGGGACTAAATTCAAGGGTGTTAAGAATCAAATTCTGAACCACAGGTTATGCTCCTCTTATATTTGTAAAATGCTCACGTTTTTATTTCTCTCAATCACATGCAGCCTGTTTTGAGACCCCATCTATTGAATTGGCAGGTCAGGCTAGGGTAGGGTACTGTGATAGAGATGACCAAAATGTAATAAATATTAAAATGTCACTGATGGAGATAACTTTCAATTTGTGTAATGCTTTGAAAATTTAAATTAATGCAAAAATGTTTATGACAAAATTTGAAATTTATATATAGACAAGATCAATATTACTGCTGGAATCATCTAAAATATGCGTTATTTCCATGATTAGAATTTTTTCATAAAGTTTTCATACCTTTCAGAAAAGTTCAGATTCTCTGTTTAGCACATACAACCTAAGTGATCTGGTCTCCCTAACATTGTCTCCCTCTGCTCAGCTCATTCTCTATGTTCCTCCTGCCAGTCTGAACTAGTTTTTAAAATGGATTGTAAGATTTCTAATTTCCCTGCCTTCAGAGTTGCTCTGTATAGGGTAAGTGGAAATTTTCAGGATTTTCCACCCTCCCACCATTGGTGTCTAAGACCCACATCTGTGTTCTTACATGTGTGCTTGATGGCAGACACTGGAGTAGAGTGTGGGCATGCATATGTGGGCACACCTGAGCTGAGAGGCTGAGCATAAAAGGGTGGCATCCCAGGGACACCAGCGACAGCAGAGAGAGCAGAGGCAACCAGACATAGCCAGAGGGCCCCCAAAAGTGAAGATTTGCCTGGGGCCAGTGGCCTGTCAGCCTCCTGCCAAACCCCCCACCCCAGACCGCAGCTCCCCCACCCCTCCGAGTACCTGGTTGCCACACTACTAATGATGTTAAAAGCTCAATAAAAGCCTGAAAAAGCCACCAAGGGCTCTAGGACTCCTCCTTTACTGGACTGTCTGGATCATAGAGAAACAGCTCAGTGCCTTGCTGGTACTGCCCTCTGCTACTTTTGCCTAAAGTTATTTCCTCCACCTGGCCTACCTAAATGATTAAACCATTCCAATTTTCTAATGCTACCTCAAGAATCACCTCTTCTGAAACACTAAATAAAAGAAACTTCAGTCTATCCATAGCTGTCCTTTTTTTTTGGATCACATTGGCACCATGGGTGTGCCCTCAATTCAGCATTTATCGTTTTATGGTATAGTAAATATAGAATCACTAAATGCTGTTTTTCCCACCAGACTGTTAGCTCCTTGAGGACAGGAACCATGTTATTTAACTTTGACTCTGGTGTCTAATGTTGTGACATATTGTAGAAGTTAAATCAGTACTTATTGACTAGATAAATTTGAGATGAAGCAGCAACTGTTATGCTTGTTCTTGCATTTAAACACTTTTCCATTAAAACACTTTAGAATAGACCATACAAATAGCACAAATGTGAATGCGCTATTTAGTGTAAATTTCAGCTATGGAGAGACAGTTTCCCTAGTAAAGAAAGCACAGATTGGAGAAGGTTCAGTTAGCACTTTATCAACAAAGCTTTCCTGCTCAGGTGTTACTATACACACTTGTTATCTGGAATTCAGTTAACATCTGGTGCCTAGCTAATTAGCCTTGTAAACATAATGGGTTTTATATTCATGAAAATAGTCTTGTTAGAGCCCTATTAGGTCTCAGATCCACTTATAGATTAGAATAACTTTTGTTTACCCAACTGTAACAATGAGGTCAGCAGATGTTGCCCCTGGACTATAAATGCTGCTTCCTGTGTTAGCATTTCATCCACAGTGGTAATTGGAGCTCCCAATGGGACAAACTGCTGGAATTTCAGAGTTTACAGAATAGGTTTGTAGCTTCCTTGTGCCTCCTTGCTAAAGATGTACGTCCTTAATATCTGCTTGGCAGAATTTGGTCTGAAACTTGTTTCAATTATAACTTAGAGTGAGGTTAGGAGGATTAGGTAATTCTCAAATACCTCAGAGACTTAAGGGGGAGGTCACAGATAACTACCATAAAGAAACTATTACTTGTGCACAATTTACTACTTCTAATTTAGTTGCCAGTTCACAGTAGCAAAGAAACTAAGAAATTAGTTTCTTTCCATGACTGCAGTAGGTATCACAGAGCCCCAAAACATGTGGCAAAGTGTCTACATTTAAAGTTATAAATTCAATCACCCCTCGTCCATGACTGGTAAAACACTTCCTGTACTCAGATCATTCTCCATGTTCCTCATGCCATTATGAACTAGTTTTTAAAATGATTGAAAGGTTTCAAACTTCCATGACTTCAGAATTGCTCTGCTACATTTGTCTAAAGTTATTTCCTCCACTTGGTGAAATTAAATTATTAACTCATGCCTGTTTTCTAATACTACCTCAAGAACCATCTCTTCTGGAAACTGGGTTCATTGGTACATGGAAGGACTACCTATGTCATCCCAGGGGAGAAATAACTCACCACTGTGAAAATATGATTTATTAAGGTATAATTAAGATTGGTGATTGATCTGTCCATTTAAGATGAAACAGCAAAAAACCTGGAGAATTGACTGTATAGATTGTAGAAACAGTAATGGATACACATTTTCCTCAATGAGCCTTGAGGCCGATTTGTATAATTTTGGGGTATCCAAACAAGGTAAAGTTATTTGGAAGAATTTAAATTAAAAAATTACCTATCTGGTTGATGAATTTTATGCAAGAGAGCAAGAAGAAAAGATATTCTATATTTTTTCAATAGTTAGAATGAGATATCTGAGTTATGGCTGAATGAATTCAGATGTACATGAAAAGATTCTCATCTTTGCAGCTCAACTGTATGTTGATTTCCCTGGGATTTTCAGGTAATAAGAAGGCTAGTATGAAGCAAATAACTGCAATTCAAGGAGAGCACTATATGCCACTTAGAAAGTCACACACGTATATAGTAGCTAGAGAGATTTTTACAGAACTTTTAACAAAATATATGTTGTCAAGGAAAAGTAATTTTGAGGAAGTATTCAATTACTATTCCATCAAGTAAGAGTATGTCCTTAGAGTAATATTTTAATATAAATGATGTTGAAAGAGCACAAGCTTTGAAGTCTCTGAATACTGATTTCAAACTTGAACTCTCCTAGAAATTAGTTCTATGAGCTTGAGAAGCTACTTAATATCACTGAGTCTCTACTTCTTCATCTGAAAATTACAATGAAGATTGAATATAGATATAGATAAGGATATGTTTAGAGATACAGATGTAATACTTAATCTATATGTAGCATGTCATACAGCTTTACAGAAAATGTACTCATTGTGCATTTATTTCCTTTGTTTTCTTGCTGGAAATAAATGAAAAGCTTTGCTAACTTTTTCCTGATTAATCTCAAATGGCAATCATCAGAGGCATTCTTCTAAAGACATATATTTTAATGGGCAGCATTTCCTTCTACAACTAATAAATATCTGGTTTTTAATTCTCTTCCTTTTTCAAAATCCATAAAGGAAAAAAATAAAATCTTGTATTAAGGTTAGCCTCTCTTTTCCTTCAAAACATGTAGCAAAGTGACAAGTTAAAAGTAATGAATAACAAAGTGTCTTGTACTGAATTTAATACCAAGATGATACATGTGGAAGAATAACTTTACATTTGTAAACACTTTGGGCAAATTTCTAACATCTCTAATTGGCCCATTGTAAATTAGTTATTGTAAATAGAATTGCAATGAACATAGGAATACATGTATTCCTTTGAATTAGTGTGTTAGCATTTTACAGGTAGATACTTAGCAGTGGAATTGTTTGGTCATGTATTTTTAATATTTTGAGGAAGAGCAATGCTGTCTTATAGGTGTTGGATCAGTCTACATTCCCACCAACAGCATACGAGAATAAGGAACATATATTTTAGCTATGTTTTACTCATTACTCTATCATGGAAATGCATATTTGTGCGTAGTTAATGCATAGTTAAATATATTCCTAAATATATTTTTAGTTTTCTAATGAGCCTTTTTCCTGAAAAGTCTATAAAACTCTGTAATAATAGAAATAGTAAAATCAACATATAGAATCCAATAAACAGTATCATTACCTAAAATTTTCAAAAATTTACTCATGAAATATGCATAATTATAAAACTCATGTTACATCATTACAACATATAACTTAATATTTTTAAAATTAATCAAGAGATATTTCAAAATCTTGAATAGAATTTCAAAACCCAATTATTACACTGTAGATATCTGAAAATGTCACATTTATTAAATGCTATTCTATTAAATTGAAGACAAAATAATAGATTCCATTTCATCAAATTGAAAGAAGAATGTAGACAGTGAGGCAAACTCAAAAGAATGATTTATTGTGCCACCCATTATATTTTAACAAAATATACCCGAAATACCCTCATATTGAATACATATTTTCTAACTCTACATGGATATTATGATGCCAAACAACAGAAAATTAACTTTAAAACTTACATTTCATAAACAGATACTTTCTAATAAAAACCAAATGAATATTTAGGAGGCAGAGGTTTAAAATCATGCCATCATATTAATATTAATATGTCACATTCTGGAAGAACTTTCCTCCCCCTTTTTTATAACGATAACTGACACATGTTCTAATGCTATTCATCAGAAAATTAAGACTGTTATGAGACTGTTAGTAGACTGTTATGAGAACTAAATAAAAATTTATCAATGAAAAATACTATACGCATACTCAGCACACACAATATTAGTCATTTGAACATGAGAACAATTTTTAGGATTTCAGATGACTACAGTTGTATGAAATTTTTCAAGAAAAAGGGTGTGACTCAGATAATAGTTTAGACTTATTTCTGCCAAAACATCTTCCAGCTTTTAATTTCAATAACTAATTCAGGAAAAGATCCAAGAAATAATGAACTTAGCTAATGGAAACATCACATCACTAAAATATTTGTTTATATTTTCTGTCTGATATTTTAATAGTGCATTTTCTTATTTACGCAAATACTTTTAATTTATTGTGTTTACACATTTCTGATAATTTTGACAAGTCTATAAATGAATAACATTATATGCCAAAGTCATATTCTACAAAGTGCATATTTTCATTTTGAACCATTTCTTATTTTCTTAATGCTACTTTTTTCAAATATGGCATCTTAACCCAAAATTAAAATTATGAAGTTGAAAACAATTCTAAATCTTTTTTTCTCTTCTCTTATATTACAAAGAAGCAAGAAACAGAAAAAATTACAAAGAATGATTATGCACATCTAAACATTAAATAATATCTATTTAGAAGAAAATGTCTCAGTCATTTAATATACCAAAAAGATGTCTAGAATAACATGCATTAATTTTAGGGCACAGCTCTATTGCACAAACAGCACACAATATAGAAAGCAAGAATTTATAAAGACAAGTTAGTGCTTATGCATTTTAGGGGTTGGCCATTGATATTCTAAATATTTATGTTATAGAAAATATCTATAATCACACTGTTTGGAAAATTCTCTTGCATATACCTCAATTTCTTTAACATTTTCATGTTTGAAACAGGCTGAATTATTTCCATTTCATAGGCTTTGGGCCCAATTTCCATTTATCAAGTTGAGAATGGTGACAGTGGCAATTACATTTGAGGGACTGGTGGCAAAAACCAAAGGAAAAGAAACTTGTTTATTATACAGATGGTCTCGCAGAGCTTGATATAGACATAACTTTCCTATGAAGATTAATTTAAAGAATCTTCTAAAATATATTCAAATAAAACATGCTCAAGATAAGTAACAAATCAAAAAGATCTTTATAAACGTATAGATAAGCAAACACTCATACATGTGTAAGAACATACACATACCTCTACATCTGGAGTCCTGGAAAAATATATTGCAATGTTGGATCAAACTTTACCTTCAATTAATCTCTCCTTTAAAAGGTTGATAACTTAACATTTTTAAAAACTAAATCCCCCAAGGAGTACGTAAAATATTAACAAAATCTTTATCATCTACTATCCCTAAACTTAGGCCTTCATAGTAATCTTCAAATTCACCATATGACACTTCATCAGACTTGCTGCAAGCGTCTTTTAATGTCTCTAGAAAGGATGATTTAATTTCTTCTTCTGTAGAATGGCCTGTAAAATAATACTGCCTATGAAAGAATATCTTTAATAGATTAATAAAATGATTGACGATAATACTTAATTACTTAATGAAATCTTTTCAACAATATGAAATCCTATGTCAAACTACCTTTCATATTATTTAAACATTTTCTTGCATCAAATAGAATTTGATGGAAATGGTTTGAATACACATTTGAGGAAATCTTTTTAGTTTCTGATAGGGTCTATCTTATACATATAGGCAAAATAAGTCACTTATAGTCACTGTTACAGGTATTCTTGTATTTCTTAGTGTTTTGAAGGACTTGGCTTCATTTCCACTAGATATGAGCAAAGAAATCAAATACTTTCAAAGATTTATAGGATATCAATACAGTAATGCCATGCCTTTCACAGGCATGCCTATATTCAAGCATTAGTTTTTATAGGCATCACCTACCCAGACAACACAAAGAAAATATTACTAAAAACACAGGATTCAGAGGTCTATGAAAATCTTTGCTGGAAGAACTTTCACACTATTAAATCATTCCATTTAAATCTTTGACATTAAGTTGGCTAGTTCCACTGTGTCATATATATTTATTGCATAGGAAGATGCAAGTGACAATCACATCTGTATAAAACATTGCAATTTAAAGAGAAAACAAAATATCTGATCCATTTTCTTTCTAAAATTCATTTGATTATTTTAATTCAGTAAAAGAATAATAACATATTGAAATAAGTGGCTTTGATTTTACCATGACCATTTAAAGGGAAGGAACAATCTTAGTTTAAATATCATTTCTTTGGGAAGCATGGAATTTCTTGGATTAACAAAGGCTTAGCCAACAATAATAAAAACAAGGACAATATAGTGAAACTAAAGCTAATTAAGCAACTTCCTTGATATTAGAAGAAAGGGAAAGACAAAAAGAAAAAAACATGGCATGGCTATCACCTGAGTTTGAAATAAGTGAACTTTCATGTTGCTAGTTAAAAGAAAATGAGTGGCATGGATGTAAAGGGAAAAGATATACTAAAAATAATTAAATAATAATAGAAATCTCTTACAGCAATTACAGTTTATTTAAGTCACTGATAAGCAACTTACATTACTTGGTCTTGAAATACATAATTTGAAATTTGGAAAGCCAGTGTAGATCAGCCTTATTTCTATTACAATATCTGTTTTTTTAAACTAAACAATAATAATAAACCATTTGTAATGATGATAAGAAGCCAACAATGGTGTATCACTTTTAATATTTAAGAATAAAATTCTTAAGTAATAGTATTCCACTGTATCTAATACTATATAATCAAAACTAGTTAGAAACTATCATAAAATATAATTTACAAGTGGTCAATAAACATACAAAATATGTTTTAACCTCCATAGTAACCAGGGAAATGAAAATTTTTTTTTTCATCTATCAGACTGGCAAAAACTAAGGAGTTGGCCAGGAGATAAGGAAAATGAATTCTCCAAATAATGGCAGTGTAATATGATAGAGCAATCCTATCATGTAATTTAAAAGTATCAATTAAAATTTAAAATACAGCATTCATGGTAGTTTCTTGACTTACTGTCAAGAAACAATAGGCAATAGACCTAAGGAGTCACAACTATACCCATGGCTTCTTTGGTTACACATCAATGAGTAGAAATTTAAAAGTCTAAAACAGAAGAATAACTAGGTAAACTCTGGAAAAGTGATTTAAAAAAATAAAATAAGGTGTCTCAGTATGAATTAACATGGAAAGAGCTCCAACATATTGCTGAGTATGAACAGCAAACTACATAGCAATGTGTTTATGGTGTTAAAAATACCTTCAAAAAATTAGATATTTATAGTAAATACAAAGCTATAAAAATTCAAAGGAATTAACTATAAATAAATATATATACTAAAAACAATAATCATTATAGAAAGGGAAATGTAATAAAAAGGAGTTACTGTAATCAAATGCTGTCTTTGTAACACTAATTCATTTATAAATCAATTGTATAAAAATTAAAGTCTTAAGAAATATAGTAGAAAATGAATCTTTAGAATTATTACATCATCAAATTTGTATAGACATGCATTTGTTATATGTATAAATCCACTCTAAAGAAAGACACTCCCTTATTCTGCCTTAAGTCTTCAAGTATAAGCAGATACAGTAAAGTTAAGTTGGTGAACTTGCATATGCTATGATCTATTCTCTAAATCTATTCGATTCTTTCTAACTCAAATTCATCACATCTCACAGGAAATAAAAATTCACTCAAAAAAAGGTAAGTATAGATGACACACCTGAGAGTTTTTAAATGAAGAGGGGCAAGCAGCTCTCACTTTTCTGGTTTAAAAAATAATTTTTATTTCTTCCCTTATGGTCTAAAGTCCATGCTATCAATTAATATAATTTAAATATCTTTATTTATTAACTAAAATTTTAGAAATATAATGCATTTTGACTAATAGTAATTACCTGAAATTACTTGAGGATGCGTCTTTGCACAGTAACATTTTCTAATTTCTATAATAGGCACACTGCCAGTTTTGTTGAAATCCAGTTTCATAAAGGCCTACAAAAGAAGTGTTATTTTTTTCTATGAAAACATTAGACATGAGAACCTAATCTGACCTCTAAACAAGGCAGTATAAAGCACTAAACCGTATATACAGGACACATTATGAATACAGGGAGAAAGACACTGGAGCAAGATAGACCTGCACTCAAGTATTACCACTTTCCAGCACTCTCTCCTTGAGAAAGTAACCAAACCTGTGTTTGGTTTTGCTCAACTACACAGTACAGGGTTGGGTAAAAGACCTCTCAAGTAACATCTAGCTCAGAATTCACATGAAACTGAAAAATGGCCCAGACAAACTGTCAGGTAAATAATTTTGATTCAAAAAATGAGTTTGCATGGGGAATATAACCAAAATGAAAATGCACACATTATGCAAAATGAAAAATTATGTAAGAATTATATAAAATGAAATAATTCATAAAAAATGAGCTTGCAAATATTCCATCACAGTAAGAAAACAAAACATTTTTTTTAAAGATTTATTTGTTTGTTTGTTTATTTATTTATACAAGCACTGGGTACAGTCAGAAGTGCAGGAGGGTCAGAGAATTCACCAGAGCCAGAGCTGGGAGCAGAGCAGGCAGAAGGAACTGAAGTACACTGCTGAGGGGAGCAGCGGGCGGCAGGAGAGGTCTGCGCGCCATGTGGGACCCTCCTCTGGTGGCCGGGAGCAGCCGGGGATGGAACTGGTGCCACAGAGTCTGCAGGCAACTTCGCAACCCAGCCCTCAACTGCTGTGCCATCGGGGAGGCACACAAAACATTTTACAATTGAGCTTTATTATTCTATTTCCTGACTTTGAATACCATATTTTGAAATTCAGTTATTGTAATGCTTCTCTAATTCAAGACAACACTGAATATCACAAAATATTTTCTTGGGAAAAAACAATCAACATTATCCTAGCAGCTCAAAGAAGGACATGTGAGGTTCTTAGAAAAGAGACCCAGGAATAGAAAGAACTCACTAGGAAAGAAACTGAGGATATTTAAGAGAGAGAGAGAGAGAGAGAGACTGAATATAATGAGGAAAAATATAGAAAATATTTTCAGTAGACTTATGCAGGAAGAAAAATGACAGAAATTGAAGATATAAATGACCCAAGTGGAAAAATGGAAATTTAGGAAAAAATGAAAATTTAGGAAAATGGAAATTTAGGAAAAATGAAGAATCTCTACAAGAAATAGCAGACTTCATTTGAAGAGGAAACAGAGATATTGGGTATTCCAGAAGGTAAGAAGTGAAGGGCATGGAGACCCTTTTCAAAGAAATAATGACTGAGAACTTCCCAAACCTAAGAAACGAATTGAAAATAAATACCAAGGAAGCCAAAAGAACACCAAAATTTCAAAATACAAAATGGCCTTCATCAAGACACATCACTGTTAAATTATCAAAAGTTAATGATAAAGAAAAAAATTAAATACTGCAGGAGGAAGAGAAGAATGTAACATAAAGAGGAACCTCAGTCATATTTTTATCAGCTTTCTCAGCAGATACATTCAAGTCTAGAAGAAAATAGAATGACACAGTCACAGTTTTAAAAGAAAAGAGATGTCACCCAAGAAAATTCTATCCTGCAAATGTATTATCCAATAAAGGCTTTCCCAGACAGACAAAAATGTAGTTTTCCATCACGAGACCTTCCATACAAGAAATGCTGAAAAGAGTTTTTCAATGTGAAGAAAAAAAAATTAAATGCAAACCAGAACAACACAAAACCTTGAGTAAGTTGATAAATAGGAACATAAAATAAGAACTATAAACAGTAATGTGAGACAACAACAAAACATTAAAGGAAGAAGAGTATGATATTAGAACAAAACAGAAACACAAACCAGTGGGATAAAATAGAAAGTCTAGAAATAGAGCCGCACAAACATGAACAGTTAGTTTTTGACCAAGGGGCTATGACCATACAATGAGAAAAAAGAGCCTCTTAAAAAAAAGTGCTGGGAGGGCCTCTCCTGGTGGTGCAGCAGTTGAGTGCTGGGCTGCGAAGCTGCCTGCAGCCTCTGCAGTGCTGGTTTGATCCCTAGCAGCTGGCGAGGGTCCTACATGGCACGCAGATCTCTCCTGCTGCCTGCTGCTCCCCTCAGCAGTGTCCTTCTGCCTTTGGTCCTACTGCCTGCTCTGCTCCCGGCTCTGGCTCTGGTGGATTCTCTCACCCTCCTGCGCTCCTGACTGTACCCAGTGCTTGTATAAATAAATAAATAAAATCTTTAATATATATATATATACATATTAAAAAAAAAAGTGCTGGGAACCTAGGTGGTCATAGGCAAAAATATGAAACTAGATCCTTACTTCACCCCTTATACAAAAATTAATTCAAAATGGATTAAATACTTGGATATAAGATCTAAAACTGTAAGTTACATAAAAGAAACTCTGGTGACATATTCTTGGAGATCAACTGCGGAGATGTATTTGGGGACACAATTACAATGCAAGAGAAACAGAGCAAAAATAAACAAATTGGGACTATAACAACTAAAAAGTTTTTATACCTCAGAGGAAACCACCACAAAAAGAAAAAGACTGCATAAGAACTGGAAGAAGATATTTGCAAATCCCTCGTCTGTCAAGGGGTTAACCCAAGACATATAAAGAACTTATACAAATCAATAACCAAAAAATAAATAAATAAATGATGCAATCAAAAAAGGGTAAAGTATCTAAATAAATGCTTTTCCAAAGAAGACATACAAATGGCCTACAGCACATGAAAAATAGACAACATCACTTATTATAAAGGAAATACAAATGAAAACCTGACCCCTATAAGAATGGCCTGTATCAAAAAAGACAAAAAAGCAATGTTGTCAAGGATATGGAGAAAAAAGAACACTCATTTATACTTGGTAGAAATGTAATTTGGTGCAGTATCTATAGAAAATGACATGGAGATTCCTCAAAAAATTATAAATGGAAATACCACAAAAAGGTATAAATGGAAGTAAATACTACTTCTAGGTATTTTTTAAAATATTTATTTATTTATACAAGAACCAGGGTACAGTCAGAAGCGTGGGAGGTGAGAGAATCCACCAGAGCCAGAGCGGGGAACAGAACAGGCAAACTGAAGAAATACACTGCTGAGGGGAGCAGCAGGCGAGACAGGAGAGGTCTGCCGTGCCATGTGGGATTCTCACCGGCCGGCTGGGATTGAACCCACACTGCAGAGTCTGCAGGCAGCTTCACAGCACTGCGCTCAACCCACTGTGCCACTAGGGAGGCCCGACTTATAAGTATTTACCCAAAGAATGTGAAAACACTGATGCAAAATGATTTATGCAATCCTGTGTTCACAGCATTATTCACAATAACCAAGTCATGAAACCAACCTAAATGCCCATGACAGACAACTGGATAAAAGAATTAATGAATCTATAGCCAAAGGAATACTACTCAACTACTGAAAAAGGTGAAATTGTGCCTTTTGGGACAAAATGGAGGGATCTTGAGGTAATTATGCTAAGTGAAATCAATTAAAATATAGTTATTAGATTGTTTTAGTCATTTGCAGAATATAAATCACCAAAATCAAACCATCAAACTGGGAAAGCAACAAGAATAATTCTTAGACTGTGAAAAATGTACTGTTTACCAGAGCGGGTTAGGGGGAGGGGAAAAGAGTGGGGAGTGTAAGTGATAGGGCTGTGGCACTGGAGACCTGACAGAGGGTGAGGCATGAACACAGGCGGAGGTACAAAGTTGTACTTCCAAGATTGCAAATTATGTATTTATTTAATTGAATTGCAATGCAATAAAATTTGAGAGAAAAAAATAAAATGACTACTAGAACCTGAGTATTTTGGAGCTTCCTATAAAAAATCAAAGCTATCTTTTTTGAATGCTGAGTAATATTCCACTGTGTATATGTACCACATCTTCTTGATCCACTCATTTATTTTTGGGCATTTGGGTTGTTTCCAAAGCTTAGCTATTGTAAATTGTGCTGCTATAAACATAGGCGTGCAGGTGCTCTTTGGAGTTAATGTTTCTGTGTCCTTTGGGTAAATACCTTGGAGTGGAATTGCTGGATCATATGGAAGCTCTATGTTTAGTAGGTTGAGGAATCTCCACACAGCTTTCCATAGTGGTTGGACCAGTTTGCACTCCCACCAGCAGTGCAGGAGAGTTCTTTTCTCGTCACATCCTCGCCAACATTTGTTGTTGCTAGTTTTTTTAATATGTGCCATTCTCACTGGTGTGAGATGGTATCTCATTGTAGTTTTGATTTGCATTTCCCTGATTGCAAATGACGGTGAACATTTGATAAACACATGCCATTTGCAGCAACATGGATGGAGCTGGACGGGATCATGCTCAGCAAAATAAGCCAGAAAGAAAAAGAAAAATACCGGATGGTCTCACTCATAACAGAAATCTAGAAAACCTAAATATGGACCAGGAAAAAAAATAACTATAAGAAAGAAAAAAATCAAAATCAACAAACAACTATGAACCAGAGACACTTTTTAGGGGGGTGGGGGGAAAAGAGGGATTGGGGTCAAAATCGGGGTTGCAACTGTGTGGGGAATATAAAAATAAAAAAAATTAAAAAAATCAAAGCAAACTGTTTAAATTCCAACAATGTGGTCATTATAATCTTCACTATAATATTTGCCACATTTATTGTAAAAATCAGAGAAACACCTTTTAGTCACCATACTAAAATAATACATAATGAGCCTTCATCCTGAGTCAGACACAAAGCCAAGCGTTCACATGCATTATTTTATTCAATCCTTATACAAACTCTATAATAAACTGAAACTCAGAGATATTTAAAAACACAAATAGTTTTATATAAAGCTAGTAATTTTTGGAGACAGAAATTTATGGAATAAGTAATTTTTACAAGACCAGTGCTCTAACCCCTGAGCTATGGAGCCAGAATAAGTAATTTTTGAATCAAAATTTATTTCAGCTTTTATTTCCCTAAAATATACATATTTTACTTTATCTGGGAAGATTTGTATGTATATATAATTCTCTGTGCTTTACTAAACCAAAATATTACAGATAAAGGGATTTAAAAGTATTTTCAATCATAATTCATTAAAGTATTTAAGTAACGAAACTAGCGACTGTTTAAAAGTTATTATTTATTTGAAATATTACCTAACAAAGTTACCTTTCGAACAAATGATTTCCTATATTCATTCATTTCACCAATAATGGCACGTTTGAATTCTCCATAATCAACCTTGCCATTGCCATTTAGAATTAGCCATAGAGATTCAAAATCCTGGAAATAATCACATAGAGACCACTGTTACACCTCTAAGTTCTACATGGCCTCAACAACAATCACCATAATTGTATTTTGGTACATCTTTTTATTTTTTACCCTAGACAAAGTAGCAGACTAAATAAGAAAATCCCCAAAAAGTTATATATAAATGCAAAAGCTCTAAGAAAGCTATTCAAGGAACTCTGCTGGATAGTTCTGTAAAGTTAATAATCATGTAAAAATGGCAATAAGTCATGAATAAATATTTTTAAGTTTAGGTCCTTACTATGGCCCCCCAAAAATGTTTATCACTTATTTAGACTTGAACATTTAATTATTTTTAATGTATAATATATCGGTGACCATTAAAAAGTCACTTCAGGTTTGGAATACCTCCAATAGCATTGGGATCACTAATTGTATATTTGCCACTCTTCACCCTTGAAAGTATTGAAATTTGAATGACCCTCTATTATTCCATTAATTTACACTGAAAGGTTTATTTTCATTAAATCCCTTATGCCAGTTTGTTCATTTTACCATTACCATTTACTTCTTTGACAAATCCCTTTTTAATGGAATTCTCAATTCAAAGAGTTCCTAACCATAAAGAAATTACAGCCTGGCATTTTCTTAAATTCAGGTAATTACATTTTCAGTGACTCAGTCACTGCTAGCTATAAATGAGAATGTAAATAAAATGTCTACCAAGGTGACTGACAAGTAATGGGTACTCAAAAAAATATTCTCTTCTACTTCCTCTTAATTTTTTTAAAATAAAGCTTTAATAAGAAAAACTAAATCTTTTTTTTTTAGTTTTTTTTTTTTTTAATTTATGCATACAAGAACTGGGGTGTAGGCCAGAGATGCAGAGGGTGAGAGGATTCACCAGAGACAGAGTGGGTAGCAGAACAGGCAGATCTACTGAAATACACTGCTGATGGGGGCAGCGGGCAAGACAGGAGAGGACTGCTTTGCCATGTGGGTAGCTCCCTGGCCAGGCACTCATGCTGCAGTGGCTGGAGACAGTTTGATAGTGCTGAGACTTAACTCCTTGCACCACCAGGGAGGCCCCAAAATCTAAATCCTGAAATGCCCTGCTTCCTCCTAAATCTAAATAATGGATACCATTTTTTTTTTTGTCTGTCATGATGCCTGTACATGACACAGAACTTAAGTGTCTGTAAATAAGCTTGAAGTACAAAAATGAACTTGACCTTTTTATAAGCATAAGTAGCACAGACAGAAGATGAATTTGCTCATTCAAATAATGAAGGACTATCGCTTCTCCGCCTTTTGGCTAAGATCAAGTGCAGTACCAAATAATGGAGGGCTAGAATAAAAAGATATTATTTGGAAGTTGAAAAAAATAATATTCAAGAATTGAAAAACAGAAAAAAATTATTTAACTTCCTAAGACAGAGCACAGAATATGCTAATTCAGTTTTTAAAAAAAACCTGCAGTAAATTCATTGATGGTATCTCTATGCAAATTAGACTATTTAGGTTGCATATCAATTTTTTTTAATTTCAAAATCAGGGGCAATGACTATGCCTTCCTGCAAACTAGTCCCACAATTAGACCCAGGTCGGGGATTATGTACTTTTTTGCTTCTCATTGGCTGGGAAGTCTCCAGTGACATTACAGGGCAAAAAAAAGGCAATATTACTTTTTAAATGAGAAAAAGTAGAAGCTTATTCCAATTTCATAATACGTATCCTATGTTAGATTTCTTCCATAATTATTTTAGTTTTCATTACTGAATCCAATCATAAAAGTTTAGCATGTCGGGGGCGGAGCAACATGGCGGCGAGGAGACGCTGCGAGTAAGATCTCCCATTAAAAAAAGTGAATAGGGAGGAAAAGCGGCAGGTCCCAGTGAGAACTGGGACACGGAAGATAAACGGGTGACGCCAGCGAACTGCCCGAAGAAGAAAGTGGCCATAAAAGAGGACCAGAAGGGAGGGAAGCGCAGAACCCTGCTCCCCTCCCCCGCCCACAGAGGCGGCACTCTCTGACCCGCAGAGAGGAGGAAACAACAAACCAAAACGACCAACAAGAACAAACTATGCAGCAAGCGGGACTGTGAGTGGAAAGGAACTATTGCAGCCACCACACCCCGTGAACGGGAGCTGAGGCGAACCCTGCAGGATTTGCCGCGGCGGTGAGCGAAGGCTCCGGGCGCCATTAGAGAAGAACAAAGACCCCGGGAGACGCGCACACAGCCCGGGCTGCCGGTAAGCTTGCGCGGAAATGCGGCGCGCTTGGCGCGCTTGAAAAGCAAACGCAGACCGGGATTGCGGCTGCCCAGGTCTCCGCACCTGCGACCTAGGTTTGTGGGGAGACGCACGGAGACCCTCACGGGGGTGAAAGCCCCTCACTGAGTAAGCAGGAACCAGGCACCCGGCACGGGAGCGGGTGCAAAAGGGGCCATTCCCGCGCCACTGAACTGGGCTACAGCCCGCGTCCTGGACCTGAGGGCTTTGAACTGAGACCTGGGGCACGAAATTCTGGGCATGGGTTCTCCACGACGGTGGGGCACAAGGCAGACACAGCACCCCAAAGCCATTGAGGTTTACGCTACCATTCTCGCTCTCTGTTCCCTGTCTCATGGGGGTGGGGGGGTTGAAAAACAGCCCCCCAAGGACAATAGGAGAGATCTCTGGCGCCACCTAGCCACCAGAAAAAAAAGTCACTAACACCCCATAGAACAGGGAAATTTCTTAAGACTTCTTGAAAAGAGCAGAAGGCTTCTGGAGGACCCAGTGGCCAGCTGGGAAGTTAGCCCATGCCAGGCCCCTTCCAACCTGCAGTCTGAGCCCACAGAGGGAGCAGGCACCCACGTCCGGGGCAGACCGGGCACGCAGAAGTGTGTGCCTGAGACCGGATGTGCAGGGACTGCGTCCCGCTTCGCCAGTTTAGAAAAGGGACATTTCTTCAGTAAAGACTTCCTGAAACCAGCAGAAAGCCCCCCCAGAAGCCAGAGATGGTTCCTGGAGGAGCCAGAGGGGAGCGGAGAAGTTCACCCAAGATGACGGCCAGTCCAAGCAACACAGTGTCCCAATGCATACAACAAATTAGAAAACAGACAGTAGGGAGTAGAAGAACCACACGCAACCTAACAACGCCTCAGGAAAGAAGCACACCACAAAAAGAAAACCACCCTCCAGATTGCAACGACAGTAACTTGGAAGAACTTCTGAGCCTTCCAGAAAGAGAATTTAAAATTGCCCTGATTAAAAAAGTGGCAGAAGTCATAAAGGAAAACAATGATCAGAAGAAGGAAATTGAGTCCCTAAAGAGGGAAAACAATGGTCAGAAGAATGAAATTGAGTCCCTAAAAAGGGAAAACAATGGTCAGAAGAATGAAATTGAGTCCCTAAAGAGGGAAGTAAAAGAAATGCAAGAGATCAAAGAATTAATGGAGGAACTAAAGAACTCTGGGAAAAGCAATGAAAGCAGAATAGATGAAATGGAAGAACGAATAAGTACTCTTGAAGACACAGAAATAAAAAGAACCAAAACAGAAAAGGAAAGAGAAGTATGAAGGAAAAAGAACGAAGAAAGACTTCGGGAACTATCTGACTCCATGAGGAAAGGAAATATAAGAGTTATAGGAATTCCAGAAGGAGAGGAGAGAGATGTAGGAACAGAGAAAATATTCCAGGAGATAATTGAAGAGAACTTCCCAAATGCGAAGAAGGAGCTGAAAATTGATATACAAGAAGCAAGAAGAACACCAAACTTCCACGATGAAAGGAAAAACACAGCAAGACACATAATAGTAAAGCTCCCAAGAATCCAGGACAAGGAAAAAATAATGAAGCTGACAAGAGGGAAGAAACAGATAACATTCAAAGGAAAACCAATCAGGCTGACATCAGACTTCTCTGAAGAAACACTACGGGCAAGGAGAGAGTGGAGGGACATAGTCAACAGACTCCAAGAAAACAGATGCCAACCAAGAATACTCTATCCCGCAAAGCTCTCCTTCCTCTTTGAAGAAAGAATATGGACCTTCCCAGACAAACACAAACTCCGGAATTTCATTGCAACTAAACCCCCACTCCAAAAAATACTACAAGGAATCCTAAAGTCAGAACCTCAGTGGGATGAATAACAACAAAAGAAGACCAAAAAAAAAAAAAGTTATTAAAAGAATAAATAAATAAAATCAAAGGAAAGACAAACACAATGGCAAATACAGATGCTAACATATCAATATTAACTCTAAATGTAAATGGACTAAACTCTTCAATAAAAAGACACAGAGTTGCAGCCTGGATTAAGAAACAAAACCCAACCTTTTGCTGTCTCCAGGAAACACATTTGGCTACAAAAGATAAAAATAGGCTTAAAGTTAAAGGATGGAAAACAATCCTACAAGCAAATGGACCAAAAAAGAAAGCAGGAACAGCTATACTTATATCAGATAAAACAGACTTCAAACTCAAAAAAATAAAAAGAGACCCCAGTGGTCACTACATTATGATCAAGGGGACAATACTTCAAGAAGAAATAACACTCATTAACATATACTCACCAAACGAAGGAGCACCAAAATATATCAGACAACTGTTGTCCTCTTTGAAAACAGACATCAGAGAAAACACATACGTAGTGGGAGACTTCAACACACCACTATCAACAATGGATAGATCAACAAGACAAAAAATAAGTAAAGAAACTAAAGCTCTAAATAAGGACCTAGAGCATTTGGGCTTAACAGACATCTATAGAACACTAAACCCAAAAAAAACGGAGTACACATTTTTCTCAAGCGCACATGGATCATTCTCCAGGATCGATCACATACTGGGCCACAAGACAAACATCAACAGATACACCAAGATTGAAATCATACCAACAATTTTTTCAGACCATGAAGGCATCAAACTAGAAATAAACCATAAAAAGAAGGCAAGGAACTATCCTACCTCATGGAGATTAAAAACCACACTACTGGAAGACCACTGGACTAACGAGGAGATCAAAGAAGAAATTAAAAAATTCTTTGAATTGAATGACAAGGAGGACACTAATATCCCAAATGTATGGGATGCAGCAAAAGCAGTAATAAGAGGAAAATATATAGCAATAGAAGCTCACATCAAAAAACAAGAAAGAACTCAAAGAAACAACCTAATCTCGAAGCTCAGAGATCTAGAAAAAGAACAACAAAAAAAAAAACCCAAAACCAGTAGAAGAAAAGAAATAATAAAAACCAAAGCAGAAATAAATGAAATTGAAACTAAAAAAACAATCCAAAAGATCAATGAAACCAAGAGCTGGTTCTTTGAAAAAATCAATAAAATAGACAAACCCCTAGCCAGGCTCACAAAGGAAAAAAGGGAGAAAGCACAAATAAACAGGATCATCAATGAAAGAGGAGAAATCACAACGGACACAGCAGAAATCAAAAGAATAATCAGTAACTACTATGAACAGTTATATGGAAACAAGTTCAACAATCTAGAGGAGATGGACAAATTCCTACAACTCTACAATCACCCAAAGCTAGATAAAGAAGAAATAGAACACCTAAACAGACCAATTACAAGCAGCGAAATTGAAATGGTAATCAAAAACCTTCCCAAAAACAAAAGCCCAGGACCTGATGGATTTACAAATGAATTCTACCAAACATTCAGAGACGAATTAGTGCCTATCCTTCACAAACTCTTCCAAAAAATTGAGAAGGAAGGGACAATACCAAACACGTTCTATGAAGCCAACATTACACTAATACCAAAACCGAATAAGGACAACACAAAAAAGGAAAACTACAGGCCAATCTCCCTAATGAACACTGATGCAAAAATCCTCAATAAAATTTTAGCTATCAGAATCCAACAATGTATCTATAAGATAATTCACCACGACCAAGTAGGATTCATTCCAGGGACACAAGGATGGTTTAACATCTGAAAATCAATCAACGTTATCCAACACATCAACAAAAAGAAATATAAAAACCATATGATAATATCAATAGATGCTGAGAAAGCTTTCGACAAAGTGCAACACCCATTCATGATAAAAGCCCTTGAAATTCTTGGGATACAAGGAACATACCTCAACATCATAAAGGCCATCTATGACAAGCCAACAGCCAGTATCATCCTCAATGGTGAAAAGCTGAAAGCAATTCCATTAAGATCTGGAACAAGACAAGGATGTCCACTCTCACCACTGCTTTTCAATATAATACTGGAAGTCCTAGCCAGAGCAATAAGACAAGAGAAAGACATACAAGGAATCCAAATAGGAAAAGAAGAAGTCAAACTATCACTATTTGCAGATGATATGATAATATACATAGAGAACCCCAAAATCTCCACAGAAAAACTAATTCAACTCATCAATCAATTCAGTAAAGTGGCAGGATACAAAATCAACTCGCAAAAGTCAGTAGACTTCCTATACACAAACAATAAATCTGAAGAAGAAGAAATAAAAAAAAACCATCCCTTTTATTATCGAAACAAAAAAAATCAAATATTTGGGAATAAATCTAACAAAAGAGGTAAAGGACCTATGCAAAGAAAATTATAAAACACTGTTAAAGGAAATAGAAGAAGACACAAAGAAATGGAAAGACATCCCCTGCTCATGGATTGGAAGAATAAACATTATTAAAATGGCCATCCTACCAAAAGCAATATACCGATTCAATGCTATTCCAATCAAAATTTCAATGTCATTCTTCAAAGAAATAGAACAATTACTGATGAAATTAATATGGAATCACCAAAAACCCCGAATAGCCAAAGCTCTACTGAAAAAAAAAGAAGGAAATGGAGGCATCACACTCCCAGACTTCAAACTATACTACAAAGCCATAATCATCAAAACTGCATGGTATTGGAACAAGAACAGACATACAGACCAATGGAATTGAATAGAAAATCCAGAAATAAACCCACATATTTATGGTCAACTAATCTTTGACAAAGGAGCAAAGACTATGCATTGGAGCAAAGAAAGTTTGTTCAATAAATGGTGCTGGGAAAACTGGGTCGCTACATGCAAAAGAATGAAGCTTGACCACTACCTCACACCATACACAAAAATCAACTCAAAATGGATTAAAGAACTAGACATAAGACCTGAAACCATAAAATATATAGAAGGAAATATAGGCGAAACACTACGTGATTTGCACATCAAAGACATCTTTACAGACACATCACCCAAAGCAGTGATAGTGAAGGCAAAGATAAACAGCTGGGACTATATCAAATTAAAGAGCTTCTGCACAGCAAAAGAGACAATAACAAAAACAAAGAGAAACCCCACCAACTGGGAGAACATTTTTGCACCCAACACTAATGATAAAGGGCTGATCACAAAAATCTGCAAAGAGCTGATGAGACTCAACAACAACAAAGAAAATAATCCAGTCAAAAAATGGGCAGAAGAGCTAAAAAGAAACTTCTCTGAAGAGGAAATGCAAATGGCCAACAGGCATATGAAAAAATGTTCCACATCACTTGTCATCAGGGAAATGCAAATCAAAACTACCATGAGATACCATCTTACACCAGTGAGAATGGCACATATTAAAAAAACTAGCAACAACAAATGTTGGCGAGGGTGTGGAGAAAAAGGGACTCTTCTGCACTGTTGGTGGGAGTGCAAACTGGTCCAACCACTATGGAGAGCTGTGTGGAGATTTCTGGACCTACTAAACATAGAGCTTCCATATGATCCAGCAATTCCACTCCTAGGTATTTACCCAAAGGACACAGAAACATCAATTCCAAAGAACACCTGCACCCCTACGTTTATAGCAGCACTGTTTACAATAGCTAAGCTTTGGAAACAACCCAAATGCCCAAAAATAGATGACTGGATCAAGAAGATGTGGTACATATATACCATGGAATATTACTCAGCATTCAAAAAAGATAAACACATCAATTTGCAGCAACATGGATGGCGCTGGAAGGGATCATGCTCAGCGAAATAAGCCAGAAAGGAAAAGAAAAATACTGGATGGTCTCACTCATAGCAGGAATCTAGAAAACTTAAATAAGGGACCAGGAAAATGAATAACTATAAGAAAGTGAAAATCAAAATCAACAAAAAACTATGAACCAGAGACATTTTTAGGGGGGCAGGGGCCGGAGGGGAGGGATTGGGGTCAGAATGGGGGGGCTGCAATTGTATGGGGAATATAAAAATAAAATTTATTATTTAAAAAAAAAAAAGTTTAGCATGTCAATCAAAAAGAGAAGTATTGCAGTTAAGCAAAAAGAGTATACTAGACTAGCCCAGATTATCTGGGTCTAACTCTGCTTAGTTATTAATTGCCTAATGGACAAGAGAAAGACACTGAGGATTTTAATTTCCTATTGCTTTCTTGTTTTTAATTTATGAAAGAAGCAGTGAAGTTGAGATGATCCTGAGGACCTTCAGTGTGTGTCACTAGGTGGGTCACAAGGCTGACTGTGTAAAAAAAACAAAAAACAGGTATGTCACAACTATAAGCAACCTCACTTTGGCACATAATTTTAGAGTTAAGGGGGCCTCGCTGGTGGCACAAGGGGTTAAGCATCAGCTCTATGAAGCAATTTCAGCCACTGCAGCATGAGTTCAATCCCGGCCAGGGAGCTTAGCCACAGGGCACAGCAGACCTCTCCTGCCTCAACCACTGCTCCCCTCAGCAGTGTATTTCAGTCAGTCCATCTGTTCTGCTCCCCACTCTGTCTCTGGTGAATCTTTTCACCCTTCCCCATCTCTGCCTGTACCCCAGTTCTTATATGCATAAATAAATAAATCAAAAAAAAAGAATTTTAGAGTTAAGGCATATTTTCACATAATTATCTCACGTAAGCTTCAAAGCAACTCTGAGTAGGTATTATCTTGGGATTGTGCAGGGAGGACCTGTCAATCAGAAAAGTTCAAAGATTTCATGATCTCAGTTGAAGTAGTGAGGTGAGAATTTGAACCTACATCTCATCAATTCAATTTCTCGTCTTCCTTCCACAAAATATACTGTGGCAAAACCATCTGAAGCAAAAAAATCACTTATCTGAAACCCTTGAGGTAGATGTGTTTCAAATTCATAAAATCCAAATTTCTTAGCACAGCCATGCAAGGTTTTCACATAATGGACCCTGCCAAGCTTATTTCTCTCCATTTCTCTCTTTTCTTTCCTTCCATTTCAGCTAATGTAGTGTCTGTTTATTCAGCACTTGCTGTATTGTACGCCAGGTTCTATTTGAAGTGCTAGAAATAGAGCAAGAAACCAAAAGCAACTGGTCCCTGCACTGACAGGACTTACATTCTATTTACAGGCAGGATCAGACAACACTGAGTGTGGCGTGGAGAAAATAAAATAAAATAAAATAAAATGGGTAAATGGTATACAGAAGACCGGGGATCAGACAGGGATGTTCCTTGTGACAGAGGGTGTCAGGCTGGGGCTCTCAGTACAGAAAACATGCCTGACGGAAAAATCCAGACATGCAAAGGTCTGGTGGAAGATTATTCACAGCAGAGGGGATGGCGTGGGAGAGCTCAGGGCAGGGAGACAGGAGGGATGACCCATGTGCAATTCCTGGAACAGGCCACACCCTCTCCTCTCCAGGCCTCCACATTTTCCCTTTCCCTGAAGTACACATGGTCCGATCCACACTCCATCCTTTGAAACTCAGCTCAGTTATATCTTTCTGCAGGAATTCATCCATGATCTTTCCCATAATCTAGCTTGAAATTTATCCAGTGAGTTCTGAAAGCATTCTCTATTTAACATGTACCATATATTTATAATCATTTATCTTCCTTTCTCTGATTATGAAGACCTTGAGAGTCCAGAGTAGATCTTCTCAGAGCTTAGAACAATGCCTGCCTTTCAGAAAAATGAAAAACATGACCTAAGAACGACATATTATCCACTCCACAGAGTGATCTGCAGTACATACCTTTTCAGACACTTCTAAGTGAAACCTTTTTAGAGCTTGCTTAAAATCTGCCTTATCTAAAAGTCCATTTCCTTCTTTGTCCAACTGTTGCAGGTATTTTCCCAATCCAGTCAAAATACGAACGCCTCTTTTATGTAGCTGTTCTTTTAGCACATCTGTTTAAGAAGAGAAGATGAAACTAAGAGCTCCTATGCACAAATGGATCACACTGCGATTGTCTCACTTATAAGAAAATTAAAATTGATGAAAGTGATATAAGGAATGTGACTATTCAACCAAATCATTTACATGACCAGCAAAAACCTTTAGAAAACAGAATGCTTTAGAAAGAGGTTTATAGATAAAGCCACATGTAAATACACTAGAACTACAGCACCACTATGTGGTAGAAGTGTTGTATTTTAAATATAGGGAAATGAAGTCTCACTTTATCAATATGAAAATAAACTAAATGTTACAAATAAAATTGTAGTTTTCTTTTCTAGGCTTCATTTAATGATCCCACATTTTTAATCTCTTTCATCCCTCTTTACTCTTCCCAACTGGGCTATAAAACTGATGCCAGGTAAGTCTCTCAAATGTCATCATTTCCAAATGCCTAAAGCAGTTTGAAATTTTCAAATTGTAACTTACATATTAAATACCATCTGAATTCTGGAGTGCTATCTATACTTAGATGTTTAAAGTAAATCTTTCCTCCAGGAAATCTAATCTCCAGACCTTAAGTATTTTCTTTGTAAGTCAGTGCTTTTACTTAATGTAATTTGTGCCATCTTAACGAAATATTTAAATACAGTACATTGGAGGACAGAAAAATGTAACCAAATATAATATTGTACAAGCCATGATAGAGACAGCAATTGACTAAGGACAGCATCAGGAATATTTGCTAACACCAGTCAACTTTTTAATCTGTTTTGGCCTTCTTACTCCCTTATCACCTTTAAATGATAAATCAGGATTCTCAAAATTCATAAATAACATGTTGATTTCTGTAACTTGTTTAATGTCTTTCTCCTTTCTAAACTATGAGATTCAGCAGAGGAATTGTCTATTTGAGTCTTGTAGACTGTTGTGGTTATAAGACTGCATGCCAGAAAAAAAATTTCTTGAATGTTTTACTATTTTATTGTTTAAGGTCTACCAATAAAAGCTTTCAAAAGTTAGAGAAAAGATTGCTATGCCAATTTTGGAGATAAAGAAAAACATAGGCAGGATTTATAAAAAGTCATCTATGTTTTGCATAATCCAAACATGAATCTGGCTCCAAGTCTAGCATTTTTTCTTTTACACTAGGTTACCACAAGTCTCTCTAGGATATTAACTACTGTATGGGACAAGTATTCTATCACAAAAATCAACCGTATTCTGCACAGCAAAAGAGACAATAACCAAAACAAAGAGAAACCCCACCGACTGGGAGAAAATTTTTGCACACAACACTAATGATAAAGGACTGATCACAAAAATCTACAAAGAGCTCATGAGACTCAACAAAAACAAAGAAAATAATCCAGTCAAAAAATGGGCAGAAGAGCTAAAAAGAAACTTCTCTGAAGAGGAAATACAAATGGCCAACAGGCATATGAAAAAATGTTCAACATCACTTGCAATCAGGGAAATGCAAATCAAAACTACAGTGAGATACCATCTCATACCAGTGAGAATGGCACATATTAAAAAAACTAGCAAGAACAAATGTTGGTGAGGATGTGGAGAGGAAAAGAACTCTCCTCCTCTGCTGGTGGGAGTGCAAACTGGTTCAACCACTATGGAAAGCTGTGTGGAGATTCCTCAACCTACTAAAGATAGAGCTTCCATATGATCCAGCAATTCCACTCCTAGGTATTTACCCAAAGGACACAGAAACATCAATTCCAAAGAGCGCCTGCACCCCGATATTTATAGCAGCACAATTTACAATAGCTAAGCTTTGGAAACAACCCAAATGCCCAAAAATAGATGACTGGATCAAGAAGATGTGGTACATATACACAATGGAATATTACTCAGCATTCAAAAATGATAAACACATGCAATTTGCAGCAACATGGATGGAGCTGGATGGGATCATGCTCAGCAAAATAAGCCAGAAGGAAAAAGAAAAATACCAGATGGTCTCACTCATAACAGAAATCCAGAAAACCTAAATATGGATTAGGAAAAAGAATAACTATAAGGAAGAAAACAATCAAAATCAACAAACAACTATGAACTAGAGACACTCTTTGTGGGGGGGGGTGGAAAGGAGGGATTGGGGTCAAAATCGGGGTTGCAATTGTATGGAGAATATAAAAATAAAAAAAAATTTAAAAAATAACTATGGTGTATTATAAAAAAAAATCAACCGTATTTTATTCAGTTCATAAACAGAACCCATAATACCTAATAATTTATAATATCCTTAAATTCTTAATTTACATGAAACTATTGAGTTAGTCAAGATCATTAAGGTAGGAGAAATGATAAAAATATTCAAAACATATATACCAAATGCAATATAAATATAAATTTAATTATAAATATAATTATAATATATATTACAAATATATATATATGAATACATGTATATTAACTTGTAAAAATATAGGTATGTGGAAAATAAAGTCATGTGCCATGAAACTAAGAAATATCTGGAAAATGCTCCTTCATTGTTTAAAAAGAAAATAGTTGGAAATTAAAACTCTTTGAAGTATAGTAATGATACATACCTTGAATGGTCTTGAAGACTAGCCTATCTTTGGTCTCTTGACTAGTGATATCATCCTCATGTTCTACAGAATCAGTTCTGCAATAGACATGTCATAATGGTAAAATATATCCTGTTTTGCCATCTTGAGCAAGGAAACTGAATTCTTCCCTGTTTCAGACTCAGTGAAGTTCTCAAAGTTGGGAAAATACTTAGAGACAATCTAGCTCTACCTTTTTCTGCTGTTTTAATTCCAGACAAGTGAAATATATACAACCAAGACCTAAAATCCTTAAAACCACTGCTCCAAGAGCAACTTTTAAACATTATATTCATTTTTGTAACTATTTCAATGTTCATTGAAAATATGTAATTAGAACTATTAAATTTTAAAGCAGGTTTACCTTGCAAAGCACAAAATATAAAAAAAAAAGTTGTTTCAGGGGCCTCCCCTGTGGCGCAGTGGTTGAGCGCTGGGTTGCGAAGCTGCCCGCAGCCTCTGCAGCGCTGGTTCGATCCCCGGCTGCTCCCCGGCCACCGGAGGAGGGTCCCACATGGCACGCAGACCTCTCCTGCCGCCCGCTGCTCCCCTCAGCAGTGTACTTCGGTCCTTCTGCCTGCTCTGCTCCCGGCTCTGGCTCTGGTGAATTCTCTCACCCTCCCAAGCTTCTGACTGTACCCAGTGCTTGTATAAATAAAATAAATAAGTCAAAAAATGGGCAGAAGAGCTAAAAAGAAACTTCTCTGAAGAGGAAATGAAAATGGCCAACAGACATATGAAAAAATGTTCAACATCACTTGTAATCAGGGAAATGCAAATCAAAACTACCATGAGATACCATCTCACACCAGTGAGAATGGCACATATTAAAAAAACTAGCAACAACAAATGTTGGCGAGGATGTGGAGAAAAAGGAACTCTTGTGCACTGTTGGTGGGAGTGCAAACTGGTCCAACCACTATGGAGAGCTGTGTGGAGATTTCTGGACCTACTAAACATAGAGCTTCCATATGATCCAGCAATTCCACTCCTAGGTATTTACCCAAAGGACACAGAAACATCAATTCCAAAGAGCACCTGCACTCCTATGTTTATAGCAGCACTGTTTACAATAGCTAAGCTTTGGAAACAACCCAAATGCCCAAAAATAGATGACTGGATCAAGAAGATGTGGTACATATATACCATGGAATATTACTCAGCATTCAAAAAAGATAAACACATGCAATTTGCAGCAACATGGATGGCACTGGAAGGGATCATGCTCAGCGAAATAAGCCAAAAAGAAAAAGAAAAATACCGGATGGTCTCACTCATAGCAGGAATCTAGAAAACTTAAATAAGGGACCAGGAAAATGAATATAAGAAAGTGAAAATCAAAATCAACAAAAAAACTATGAACCAGAGACACTTTTGGGGGGTGGGGGGCGGGAGGGGAAGGATTGGGGTCAGAATGGGGCGTTTGCAATTGTATGGGGGAATATAAAAATAAAATTTAATATTTAAAAAAAAAAAAAAAAAAAAAAATAAAATAAATAAATCTTTAAAAAAATATAAAAATAAAATAAAAAATAAAATAAAAAATTTAAAAAATTAAAAAAAAAGTTGTTTCAAAAAGTCAAAAAAAAATAAGGGATTCATCTTGAGTAATATAGTAAATGAAATATAGTCTTCCTTATAGCCAATTTGTGGGTTATGGCCTCCAATGTATACACAGCACATCAATCATTGTAATTTTTGAATTATATTTAGCACCAAGAAACACTCAGCAAAAACGCTTGCCTGCTGCTTCCCTCAGCAGTGTATTTCAGTCAGTCTGTCTGTTTTGTTCCATGCTCTGTCTCTGGTGGATCCTCTCACCCTCCCGCGCCTCTGACCTGTACCCTAGCTCTTGTGTAAAAATAAATAAATCTTAAAAAAAAAAATACCTGAAGGAAGGCACTGATCATATAACTCTAAATCACTACAATACTGTAAACCAATGTTACCTCAAAATAACTGGAAAAAATTTATAAAAAAGAAAATCATAATAAACAAAATATATTACTTGGTAGCATGTGGTAAAATAAAAATGCTACAGCACAAGCAAATTAATAAAGTATTTTAAATAATATAAGATATGATGGTCTTCATCTTTGAATTAATTTTTCATATAAGGAGTGTATGTGAGTACAAGATAGCACATAAAAAGTACAAAAATAGCTACGCTTTATTTTTTTAATATTTTAAAATAAAACCTTTAAACTCAAAATGTTTTAGAATAGAATCTCATTTTAAGATAATAAAAAACAATGCTTTTGCTTTCAAAATTACAAGTACAGGGCCTCTCTGGTGGTGCAAGAGGCTAAGACTTAGCACTATGAAGCAATCCCCAATGTAGCACAAGTTCGATCCCCGACCAGGGAGGTGACTCACATGGCACAGTAGACCTCTCCTGTCTCGCTTGCTGCTCCCCTCAGCAGTGTATTTCACTAGATTGTCTGTTCTGCTCACCACTCTGTCTCTGGTGAATCTTCTCACCACCACCCCCCATCGCTAGCCTGCACCCCAGCACTTCTAAGCATAAATAAATAAATCTTTAAAAAAAATTACAAGTGCATGTTTGACTCACTTGAGAAAATCCAAAGCTGTCTGATCAATATTTGTGATCCGAAGTGTAAGTAATGTTCTCTCTTTCATGCTTTCTGAAAGTCTGGGATGCTCAGAAGTCAAAAATGTCAAATTTGCACCCTAAAGAAATTAACAAATGAATTAAAGTTTAAAAGTTTGTGAGACGTAAAATACAACTAATAACATTTTTAAATATTCAATTTTGATTATATGTTACATGGTATACGTTTATCATGATAAAAATATATATTTAGAGAACCACACAGGGTTCAAGTAGTAATATAGAAAAATAAAGTAATTAATTTCCCAGTCAGCCTCTTAATGGAACAATCTTTCATTCAGCAATGCATGCAGAAAAAAATAACTCCTAATTTTTATAAGAATCAGAGGAAGAAAGAACCCATTATTTCAGTGGAAATTATGACATCCTTAAAGACACAAAAGTCCTTGCTCAGGAATGAGGAGAGAAAATAAACTGAAGTCTAGAAACTCTGTTCTTTCACCCTCACAGGATCTCACAGAATCCAACATTCAGTATAAAATATTTGCACACACACGCACACACACACACACACACACACACTTAACTCACAATATAAAAATCATCAAGTTGGTATTGTTTTCCTTTTCTTCGTCCATGTTGATGACTATAAATGTTTTTTTGAATGAAGGGAAGCACATTTGTTCTAGAAGTTGAATGACAAAAACGTAAAGTTATTCAGCTTCCCTTGAAATAACATCTTGAGTGCCATAGCAATGTTTTATAGCATACCTATTTTTCCCAAATTGCCGGTATTCATAAATTGTAAGGGACTGGTCATGAGTAAAAAAGAACCCCATCAGCTCTCTGCAAGCATCACGCCCATTTCTAGAAAAATAAAATGATATCAAAGAATTTCAAATAGGATAATTTTTTTAAAGATTTATTTATTTTTACAGACAAGAACTGGGGTATAGGCAGAGGTGTTGGGGGTGAGAGGATTCACCAGAGACAGAGTGGGGAACAGAAGAGGCAGATGGACTGAAGTACACTGCTGAGGCGAGCAGCAAGCGAGTCAGGAGAGGTCTGCTGGGCCATGTGGGTTGCTCCCTGGCCGGGCATTGAACTCATGCTACAGTGGCAGTGGCTAGCTTCACAGGTTGTGTATTAACCCCTTGCGCCAACAGGGAGGCCCCATATAGGATAATTTTCAAATGAAATAGTAAACCAGAATGTGTATGTTAAAGAGGGGAAGGGTAACTCCCTCAAATGTGTGGTAATGAGTAAGAAACAAGAAGCCATGGGATAAACATGACTCAGCTTGCTTAAGTGTCAACTGAAGTAATATGGTGGAGAAAGAAGCTTTATTTTACACAAATATGAATTTGGATATGCTACAACATATACTAATAATTCAACAGAGGATTTTAAGATAAAGTGAAACTTAAAAAAATGTTGAACTTGCAAGAAGCCATTAAGGTTTTACTGTCTTTTGTCCTAGAAAGTTTAAAATCATTGAACAAATATAATTAAAAAAAAAACACACCTTACCATTCACATACATTAGGAATATCAACTAGCAGTATGTATTGCTAGAGGTTTATTAGACTGAGATAGCAGATTCAAAAACCATCTTTCTTCTCACTTTATCATAACTCAATAATCTGTTAAGTCATTAAAAATAAATTAAATAAAGCACCTTACACAAAAGCTAACATTTAACTGGTTTACAATCCTCTAATAGTCAGAGAGACGTTTAAAATATTCACTTCTAAAAAAGACATTTTAAAACAATTTTAAGTAACTTCTAATTGAAATATTTTTCTTAGAGGTTCACACCTAATATAATTTTGTAGCAGATTAATATATGTTACCTACAAATGTTTATTCTAAATTGTGACAATTTTATCTAATTTCATTATTGCCTCTGAAACACATGCAATGTTAGTAAATCAGTGTTACTTCAGTTAAGTAAAAAGCTTATTTAGTAAATAAAAAAACTTTTTCAGATGAAAGATTAAGAATAAAAAGAAGACAAAACATTTATAAACATAAAATTAAAAAGTTTGATAAAAACACAATTACCTTGATATGATCCTACTATCAAATTCTACTTTATGAGAAAGCATATTTTCTGTTAATGTAGAATGAGTTCTTACTCTGTGAAGAAATAAATTTGTCAATAATTATTTTAAAGTTATTTATAGTTGATGTAAATGATAAAAAAATTTTAAAAAGTTACGTTTCCTTGAAATCTACAGATAGGATAGTTAAGGTACAAGCATTTTTTAAAAAAATTGCTAATTGTAGCAGACAGAACACAATATCCCTGAGAGTATATACAAGTCAGGAGTTCAGTTATGAGTAGTCAAAAAACATTCCTTAGCAAAATGGAATATGGGGGGAAAGTGCTAGATAAAGTTCCAGCTTTGGCATCGATGTAGTTGTCAGACATCACATCAGTTGTTTAAGTTTTAAGGTGTTCAGGTAGCACCAAAATAATCTCACAAAGACTACCAGTCCTAAAATTCTGTTTAATAATATAAAGGAAAACAGAAATGCACACACTTTGGTATTTTACCATTAATAATCTCTTAAAAGAAGAAATCCGGAGATTCAGTGATGGATCTTTATTCTCCTTCCTAAAAAATGTTATGATAGTCCCTTTAAATTTCAGGTATAATGGAATTGCAATAATGTAAGCATTAAGTAAATGCATGGGTCATTGAGAGCTTTTGAAAAGTTATACTTATATAAAATCTAGGTCTCTATATAAGGTAACAGGAAAGGACACAAGAGCCTGTAGACCTAATGAGTTTGTAAACACAGAGTAGAGCCATGATAGCTTAGTTATCACTATACAATTTACTACACTGATACTGATGTTTATAGAATGCCTAAAGCAACTCTAAACATTGAGAAAATAACAGTAGCTATAATAGCTATTATTATTTATTGATGACTTCTTAGACACTAGTCATTGTAAAATCACTTTAATATGTACTGGTTTATTTAACACTTGCAATAACTCTAAGAAATAAGTACTATTATCACTATACAAATAAACTTTACAGTCAGAGAGAAAGATTAGTTGCCTACGACCACACAGATAATACATGGCAGAGCCAGAAAAACTTGCTCATAACCTTTAACATGATATTGCTTCTCAAAGGTCAATGAAACATCATTTAACACTTGGTTATTTCAGGTGGGCTAAAATAACACCTTTTTAAGAGTCTAGAGTCTTCTTGAAAAGAAAAATAAGCAAATAAGCATTTATATTGTAAAACCAAAGATCCATGTTGAGGTTTTAGGTATCCAATGAGAGAATCAATACTTCTTCTCGTTACCCAAGGTCTTACTCAATACAGAAATAAGACTCAGGCAGCTAAATACCAAAATACATGGTGTATTGTTGATAAGGTTGTTGGAAACCATGGCTTAGGAATGCAGCAACCACATATTAAGTTCTTAATACTAGAATTAAACACAATGATCCACACATTCCCACCGAGAAAGGAAGCTGTGAAACAGTACAGAAAGTAGAATGTGTGCTTCTGTGACATCTGGCTTCCAAGAAAAAAGAAGTGATGCACTGACCAGCCCAATTCCAATTTCCAGCTCTATGAAGCAGAATTCTCTCCTCTTATAGGAAGAACGAATTGGGTGGGGTGGGGGAAGAAGTTTGAAATTCATAAATTCAATAATTCCAGTCAAAAACCCCATGGGATTTTCTTTTCATGAAACTAGACTCGCTAAATCTAAAATGTAATAGTGAAGAGGAAAGGGCCTAGTATGTCAAGACAATATTGAAGGCATATAAGCTGCAGGTCTTTATTCTAACAGAAAGCTAATTAGTACTTAGCTTAATACTAAGACAGGATAATACTAGTTCAGGGATATTTAATAGGTAGGTGAAACGAAAGAAAAAGCCTAAAGGTGACCATGCATTTATACCGACTTGATATATGACATAAGTGGCTTACAAGTCAAAGGCACAATGGCTTTGTCATGACCAGAGATTTCTTAAAGATGACACGAAGGACACCAACAATAAATTGAAAGATTGGTAAACTGGTCTACAACTAGAATTAGCAACTATGATTCAACTAAAGACATGATCAAGAATATGAAAGAGTGAAAGCATTAGGAAAAAATAGTTCAACAAATATAAATGAAAATGGACTTGGAACTAGAATATATAACTAAAGTTCACAACAGACATGAAGGGCAATTTCCTATGAGAGGATATCTAGGTCAAAAATATGCATATGCATAAATGCTCAATTTCATTAGTCTCCAGTAGAATGTAAATTAAAGTCACAAAATATACTTCCACATGAAGAACCAAATTAAAAACTGTAAACAAGCCCAAGGACTGGCAAAGACATGGTGCACCTAGCACATTCTTACTGCTGCTGGTGGAAGTGTTAATTGCACCAACCACTTTGGAAAACTATTTAGTAGTATTTTTAAAAAGCTGAGCATATGCATAATAAATGGTACCAAGCAGAAATGAGTACATATGTTCACCAAAATAATGCACTAAAGTTCATGGCAACACTATTCATAAATAACCAAATGGCCATCAATATCTGTGGATAAATAAATTGTGTTCCTACAATGAAGTCCTGTACAGCAATAAGAATAAAGGACAATTACAAATGACAGCATGGATAAAACTCACAATCATATTGGATGAAAGAAGTCAAATACAGAGTTTGAATTTTGCAATTTCATGTACGTTTATAACCAGGCAGTTTTAATTTGTGCTATTATCAAGACAGAGCAGTTAACCTGGTATGGCAGAGGAAGTGGAGAGTGACTGAGAGGCAGCACCAGGGAGATTTTTGGGGTACTGGCAATATTCTATTTCTTGATCAAGAAACACAGTACCTGAGTATTGTTTAGCTTATTCAAGTTCCTAAGCTGTACTAAAAAATGTGTACATTTTGTGAAATATTTTTTTACTTCAATAAAAATTTACTTTAAAAAAGAGAAGTTTAGATATGTCACAGCTGAATGATGGTCCCCCAAAGTAGTTTCTATCTTTATCCTCAAAACATGTAAAAACGTTAAGTTTACATGACAAAAGGGACTTTGCATATGAAAATTAAGCTAAGGATTTCAGATGATGAAATAGTCAGGATTATCCAGGGAGGTTCAGTGCAATCACAAGTGTATTTATAAAGGAAAGTAGAGGACATGTGACTGTAGGAGAGAAGTGTCAGAGTGCTACAACTTACACAAGAAAGATGTGACTAGCCACCTCTGGGTCTCAAGATGGAGGAAATGCCATCAGCCAAGAAATGAAGGAAGAATCTACAGCTGCAAAAGGGAAAGAAATGGATTCTCCCCAAGGACTATACAAGGAATCCAGTACTGTCAACATCTTAGACAAGGAATCCAGTACTGTCAACATCTATTGACCTCCAGGACTATAACAGAATAAATGTGTGTTATTTTTAAACACTTTATGGTAATTTGTTACAGCAGCAATAGGAAATTAACACATAACTTCAAATACATAAAAGATATGGAAACAAAGGCTTACAGAAAATAAGAACAAGGCCAAAAAATGAAAGTTATAAGTACTGTCTAACAATAACATAAATCTGAAAATAGAAAGGAAGTTTAGCAGGAACTGGGGGATTTTCTATTATGGCTAAGGCAGAATGTCAACTGTCAGTGAAATTGTTGAAAAATTTACCAGAGACCATGAAAGTCTATACCAACTCAAAGATTTTACAAGCTAAAAAGTAAAATGCAGATAACAATTTTTAAACAATATTAATGTTGAGTATATCAATGAAACAACCAATACCTATTGTGCACAAACAAATGTTCCAGTTACTCTATTAGACATTTTCACATATATTATTTCCTAATTGTGGCTGTTATTTGGAAATTACAAATAGAAAATCTGAAGAGCAAGCATTGTTCAAAATCTTAAAGTCACAGAACTGGAATTTGAACTCCAAAAATCCCACTTCCGTTACACAGAAAAAAGCAAAAGCAAATGAGAGAAATTTCCAGTTACACATGAAAGCACATTTTAAAATACACATAATATCCTCATTTTATATAAGTAAAACCTTCTTACTTTGTCTCGTGTAGAGTTCTTTTTCTAAAACGAAGAGGTGCTATCTTTGAATCTGGGAGGATACAATCACTTTCTTGTTTCTCAGTGATTAAATTTTGATCTGGATCACTGATTACAGCCCTATACAGGAAAATACAAAGTCTGCCAATTAAATGTGCCAATGCATTGCTCTAGCATTCACACATTTATAACCATTTGGAAAAGCTCAACTACAAATGCAAATTTATACTACCATCAGAATACTATTTTTGTCAGATAGTGAACGAATAAACTTAATAATTAAAAAATACTGGCCATAAAAAGTAGATAATCCTGTCTATTTCTCTTTCCGTAAGTGTTACCTAAAAATAAATTGAAAAATTGTAAAAGAACTCAGAGCTTCATATCTTGCTTTTACTATTTTTTAAACAAATACACACTGTACTGGTGATTGCTAAATAAAGACATGAAGCAAAGTAAGCAGGCTTATGGATTTCTGAGGAAAAAGCATTCCTAGCAAAAGGAAAATAAATGTCCAGCACTTAAAACTGGAATGAGCCTGGTATGTTTCAGCACAGGGAGGAAGCGGAATAACTAGACCAGAATAGATAAAAGAGAAAAGAGAAATAGGAAAAAGGATCCTAGGATCCTATGTTTAAAGGAAGGTAGGTAGGTATCCAAGGTAGACAGGTCATGTAGGGCTTGGATAGGCCATATTACTAACCCCAAATTTTTAGCACTCCTTATCCACATCCTTGCCATGGCCCTGTTTGAGGAATAATAAGGAGCAAACTCTGAGGCAGTGAAAGACATCCTGAATGAACTCCATCCTCTGATCATTTTATGGACCCCACCCCCCATCTCTATGCCAGAGATCTCAAGCACTAAAAACTACAACTCCCAGCACGCCATGAACCTGATTTCCTAAAAGGGGGGCTACTGGGAACTAGGGGTAGAGTTAAGTAGCCACGCTTGATATATAATTGAAGATGTGCATGCTCTCATTCTTTGGCTTTTCTGACTTTACCTTGAAGGGGGGTTGCTGGGAACTAAAGGTGGAGTTAAGTAGCCATGCTTAATATAAAACTGAAGACAGATGGACTTCTCCCAGAGTACAGAAAGAGAGAGATTGTTTGATATGTCCTACTGGTAACACTCTCTAAGCTGAGACCCCGGGTGCAAGCAGAAAATAGGAAAAGCAAGAAGATGCGAGTCCACCCTTAGTTCCCAGCAATGCCCCCTGCAAGAAGTCAGAATCATGGCAGATTGATGACATGATGGGAGTTGTAATCCTTAGCTCCTGAGATCTCTTTAGCATGGAGATGGGGAGGGAGTCCATAAAACAATGAGTACAGTTCATTCAGAACATACTGTTCCTCCAATACTTGCCTGAAGGTACATGAAACTTGCAGCAAGCTTTCAGGTCTCAGTGGCTCCACTTAAGAGTAAACCTTTTTGACTTGGTATTTGCCCATGTGGAATGGGTGATTTTGGAATTTTATAGGGAAACTATTATTTGAAATCCTTTCTTCTCTCTCTCTTTCTCTCTCTCTGCAAACCAGTTCTTTCACACTAAGTCTGTTTCCTTTGTCTTTGTGCACATGGAAGACTGAATCCCTTTTAGAGCATGCATCCTTTAACAGTTTCAAATCCCTAGGACCTTTGGTCATACATTAACAGCCTCACTATAGGCATAGTGCACCTTCTCAGCCTATGGATTTGAATTTAGCCATTTGACTTACTTTGAAAAATCACATATAGCTGATGGCTCTGCTGATCTGAGTGGCACTAACTTATATAAGTGTCTGTCTAGGGATCTATTAATCTGGGATAATTTTGGCTAAGCAGCCCAACTGCATTTGTAGACACATCCCTTTTTTTAAGGTCTAAGCTCAAAACTGAAAACATTGCTTTTGCTCATATATGAATGTCAGAGTAAATTAAAAGTAAAAACCACTCAGCCAAGCATCACTTGGACAGCTGACCTGAAGATACATATGCTACAAATAATTGCTGTTTTAAGCTATTAAGTTTTGTATTGACACATGAGCAATATATATGTATCTTTTAGATTTAATGCTGATTAAGATGGAGAATTACTGGAGGATATGATCTGGCTTGCCTTTTAATAGACTCACTCTGGCTTCGAGGTTGAGGATAGACAGAAAAAAGGCAAATGCAGTCACAATTAGCACACTTACAAAGTGAGTAAAATAAGCAAAGGGACAGAGGATGACAGTGTGAACAGGGATGGTGGCAGCAGAGAGAGTAGATTCATTTTGATGGTAGAACTAAGAGTATTTGCTGACCCAATGTACACAGAATTTGAAAGACTACTCAAAGACATCACCAAGATTTTAAGACTAAAGAAAAACTGAGTTGTCAAGGGGAGAAATTAAGAGGACTTATTCATTGTGGAGCAGAAAGGAAGAACTTTCAGGATCAGAAAAGGTTACATTAGAGTCATATTAGAGAAGTATAAACATATAGATGTTTTCTAAAGGCATGGTGTTAGATGAGATAGCTTAAGACGTAAAGATAGAAGAAATCTAAGAATTGAACCCTAAGTAATTCTAAAGTTTGAGAAATTGTGCAGAGCCCAAAGGTGAATATATCCTACTAGTAAGGAATTTTGGCTATTTACGGATGAAATAAAAAAAAAAATCTTTCAACTTATTTATATTAATTTTTCAAATGATCGTTAAGTTATTAGGAAATAAAAACTAACAAAGTTGTTCAGAGAAAAACACTTAATAAATAGATCTTTCTATTAGTCTGAAAGAGTTATTAAAACACTGCAGTGAATAAGTTGGTAAATTAATCCACTTGGTCATGGCCAAAGACATGGTTGTCATGTATAAAAAAGAAACTGAATGCAAATTTTCAGAATGAATTTCTCATGCCAGTTACTATCTCTCACCTAGATAAGCAGTCTATCATCACTTGCTCTGCGACAGTCTGTTTCTTCTTCTCTGCAGCCACAATTTCCTGAGGAAATTCCATTGTCCACAAAGCAGAACAGCATGAGAGTTAACATGAGTCCTAAAACATAACTTAAATGGTTCCTATTTCTTTAATATATATATATATTACAAAACCCATCACTGATAAATTTAAATTCCAATTATTTAATCTAAAATATATATACTTATTTCCTAAAAAACAAAGCATTTAAATTTTGATTGAAAGCATCTAATAGCTCCATGAGGCACCAAGCATTTTATAGAGCCAGAATAACGGAGGTATGACATCCCTCCCCTTGAGTGATGCCCTGCAAAAGGCATCTTATCTGGCTCCAAAAAGAGCACTGACATAATTACAGAAAATAAGGCTAAAACTGAATTTGAATCATTCAATCATACATCAAAAACCTTTATAAAAGCCTCCCGTCATTAAAAGATGTAATCTTTTGGGTCTATAATTAATTAATAATACCTCAACTTTTTTCAATTACTGGTTTAACTTAACCTATATGATACTATTTTTTACTGGTATCCAATAAAAAATTTCACTACATTTTAGGTGATAGCAATTAAAAAATATGTAACCACTCAATTCCAATTAGATCATGTGACATTAAGATGTTTCATAGTGAACTTCTGTGAAGGGTAAATGAAAGAGGATAAAAAATTAGCAAGTCAAAATAAAGCTTGAGTCTATTTTCAGAATGTACATTGCAATCATTCCCCCGATCATATTAATAAATAAAATCAAATAAAATAATATTGCTTAAGATAGAGGCTTTATAATCTTAAGGAGAGTGCTCTATTCAAAATTGACACAAAATTCAAATAACAATGATTAAAAGAAAGAAACTCCTAGGAAATCTTGAAAAGTTGGGCACATTAAATGTTAGTCCATAATCGAGTTTAGTTTTTCTTTTTGGCAAAAATTTAAGATGTAGGGCCTCCCCTGGTGGCGCAGCATTTTAGCGCTGGGCTGCAAAGCTGCCCGCAGCCTCTGCAGTGCCGGTTCGATCCCCAGCCTCTGGCGAAGGTCCCATGTGGCGCCCCACATGGCATGACAGACCTCTCCTGCCGCCTGCTGCTCCCCTCAGCAGTATATATTGTCAGTCTGTCTGTTCTGTTCCCCGCTGCTCTGGCTCTGGTGAATTCTCTCACCCTCCCGCGCTTCTGACTGTACCCAGTGCTTGTATAAATAAATAAATAAATCTTTAAAAAAATAATAAAGATACAACTTTTAAAAAAATATTTAAGATATATAATTTATATAGTCTTTAGTTTATAATAATCCTAATACACCCCATATGAATATATATATATGTGTGTGTGTGTGTGTATTTGGGAGAAATTTAAGATATACAGTATATAAAAACTACAATTTATAGTAATTCAAATTTACATCATACACAGTTGATATCATTTAATATATAAATGCATCTTGTGTTCTCTACATTTATGACACTTTAATAATGTTTGGTTAGTAATAAATTAAACCAACAGTTAAAAAGTTAGAAAAAAATGTGTAACTTACACAATTATAAAGGTAAGGCAAGAAATCATTTATACATAAGGATGATTCAGAAAACGAACTGATTAAAACATGACTTTAGAAATAGAAATAGAATTTATAAATAGATCCACATCAGCCAGAACATAAATGCAAAACACAGAAGTACAGGGGTGAGTTTAATGAAAATCAGAGTCCATGCAGAAAGTCTACCTCAAGTGTTAACATTTATTGTGGTTCATATTTTATAGGAAAGGTTAGAACCACCCTCAGGCACATTCTTTAGACGTCTGTGTAAGCATAGAGCGTATTAGAAGCACAAGTCACACTGATGTAAAGGATCTGATGACATTAAAAAATGACAAACTAGAAGAAATGATATAAAAACCAAAGGTTCACTGCTTCTGTTGTCCCTTTTAGTAGTTAAAATTAAATTAAAATGCTTCTAACTACAATTTAAAAATAAATCAGAATTTCAGAACAAAGCATTCAATGTTTACTCACATAAATATTTCCTGAAAAATATAAATGAATGAGCACTACCACAATAAAGGAAAATGTACCTGATAGTGAATTTAGATATACTGGCACTAAGAAAGTAGTGGCAAGGAAAAGAAATCCAGTAACATCCAGATAATTTTGTACTATATGAACCACAATACCCAGTGTAATAACTTTGATAAGTTACTACTGCTTTGAATTTCTAGGATAATGCTGGTAAGACTTCTCATTCAATTAAGCACAAATATTTGAATAATAATAGGCATAGAAAATATGTGTATTTGGTTTTACAATAGTAAAAGAGCCATAACAAATTAGCACCTTGGAACAACCACAATCATTACTGTTTTATTATTATGTAGGCCATTGAAATCAGAGTTTTTTCAACTTTAACATACCATACACTGATATTCTATCAACCCGTGACAGTTCCACCTAAGATATTATTTACTTTGGGGTATCTGTGGTAGCCAGTGGGCTCAAACAGATCTTAACACCTCAAGCCACTATAAATACAATTATTCATTTGTACCAGACTTGGTCCAACCAATATTCATGAAACTATCTAATTTATTTGTAAAAGATGTTGTTGAAAGTTAATATTGAGAATCAATATTAGCAAGAAGCTTTTCTTCTTGCTAAAGAAAAAATATTTTATTGCTGTCCTTTTCCTTAATTGTCTTGAATTTCTCTATTTTTATTAGCTTATGACCTTCAAAAAAAAAATAACCAGTTTATTGGGCCTCCCTGGTGGCCAGCGGTTGAGCGCTGGGCTGCGAATCAACCAGCAGCCTCTGCCACGCCAGTTCGATCCCCAGCCGCCAGGCATGTGTCCCACATGGCGCACAGACCTCTCCTGCCACAGCCTCTGCTCCCCTCAGCAGTGTACTTCGGTCCTGCTGCCTGTTCTGCTCCCTGCTCTGGCTCTGGTGAATTCTCTTACCCTCCCACGCTTCTGACTGTACCCAGTGCTTGTATAAATAAATAAATAAATCTTTAAAAAAAATAAATAAAATAACCAGTTTATTCTAAGGAGAGGGGCAATACCAAATTAACCCCCTGGTATAAACAGCAGTCAATCTGAAAAGTGTAAACTAAGTTTCTACCAATTCTCAAAGATTCAGGTTAATGTTTTCCACATCAAGTATACCAATCTTTTGTAAAAATGAGAACTCAGTTACACATTAATATTGACCTCGGCTCAAATTCAAATGTTGCAGTTATTTCTTCCATTATATGTCTGTAAAATAACAGAATTGGGATACAGGCCAGAGGCATGGGAGGGTCAGATAATTCACCAGAGAAAGAGCAGGGAGCAGAACAGGTAGATGGACCAAAGACACTGCTGAGGGGAGCAGCAGGTGAGTCAGGAGAGGTCTACCGCGCCATGTGGGTTGCTCCCTGACTGGCCAGGAATCAAACCTGTGCTGCAGAGGCTGTGGACAGGTTTATAGTGCTTTATAGCGTGGTGCTCAACCGGCTATGCTACCAGGGAGGCCCTGTCTGTAAAATCTTGGAGGACAAAGTATCTTAACGGTATACCATATATAAAAATATCGGTAACTTACAGCATGAGATTTTCTTGTACTGCGCTGTGCATTGTAAGGGCTCTCTGCATAACCCTGCTGTAAGAGCGCTTTCCTATCCAGACTTGTAAGATCATCAGTGATGGCTTCTTCACCTTGTACACACTACAAGTGAAAGCAATGAATGAAACAGACACAGATTTAGAATATTTGTTTTCTAAAAAAATAAGGGATTAAATAACCACTTGATGTGTCAATGATTATATTTGTAGTGGTTAAGAGAACAGACTCTGATGATCAGGTTGCCTGTGTTTGAATCCAGCTCTTCTAGCTCCAGCTAAAGGATCTCTCTGTGCCTCAGTTTACTCACTGATAAAATGGGAATTAATAACAGTAATTACTTTATATACAAAAAAGATTAAATGAGAAGACACATATCCAACTCTTAAAAAAAAACCTAACATACAGAAGTATTAAATGAAAGGTTGTAGCTATTATAGCTTTTGCTGTCCATGTCAAGTCTTTGTAAAGTTAATAAATGTGGGCATGTCCACTCCCTTATAAAATAAAATTCAGAAGTGCATCCTTTAGAGTAATGGATCCACTGGGTTCCCAAAGAGGCAAAGCACCAAGTTTATCTCTAAATATCTCCTTAAAGACAATCAATTTGCATGTCGCCCCTTACTTTAGAGAGGGATTTACATTTCTTACATCATGCACCTCATCACTTCTAGATTACTATCCAGCGTTAATTCATGTAATTGTAATAGGATTTATTAACAGCACATAACTCATATGTTTGACTCTTATAATGGTGTATAACTAAAAAGATATCAAATAAGTAGCTTAAGGTCCTTGAATACAATATTGTCATATATGGTATGTAGAGACATCAGAGCTTCTTGGCCTGACTACCAGGAACATATTAAACACAATTTTATACATTTTTAAATGTAAGTTAAAAAATCAAGGACACAGAACAGGTTCTTTTTAATATGTATACACTGGCTTTTATTTCTAAAATCCTATTGTTCACAGTATGTAAATATTTATTAATTACATAGGAATACTTGCAAACAATATTCGATTCTTTCTCAAACCAAAAGTAACAAGCAAATGTCCTCAACTTCTGTTCAAAGAAATCAAAGTTTTACTTTAATGACATATTGAATGTCATTTGACATTCTTTGAATGAAGAATAAATTAGTTAATGTAACTAAAACACTTAAAATAGGTCCTGGTACACAGAAATAAAGTTAGTTATTCTATTATCACTGACAGCAAGACAACAGATTAAGAGATGTTTTGATAATATGAGTACTGATTTTTTAAAATTTCATTAGAATTCTATAAAGTCCCATACATTACCTTGTTATCTGTCTTGTTTCTTAGAGACTGTTGATGTGTGATACTTGGTGTCCCCTTTTCTGCATTTCTTTGACTATACTGCTTATGTCCCTCTATCATTTCAGTTTTGCATTGCTGATATTTCATTTTATATTTGCCTGTTGGTGCTGACAAATTTTCAGGTATAGTATCCTGCTCCTAGTATAAAAGGAAAACATATACTATTCACGAGGAAAAAAAAAATCAAAATAATCACTCATTTTCCTTATTACTATAAGTAGGTTTACCTTTGCATCGTTTACCTTTGCAACAGTCTGTATGAAACAGACTATTCTGATGGAGGTTCTAAACAGAGGTGATATTGAAAACATTCAGCCAGCACAGCATCACTGAGTGATCAGAGCAGGCAGAACTACTCAGAATAGACACTGGCCCTAAATACCAATTAGCCTATATCTCTTTATCCCAACTGAAGATCAGTCCTGATTCTAAAATAATTTGAGAGGAAAAGGGAAAAAGGATTTTTCTTTCTTCTTAGGGGTTTTAGAGATAAGTCTATTTGTCTTGCCCTATAAAAGCTCATTGCCAGTTATCTTTTTCTGGAATCATCATAGGAACTGAAGATCATTAATACTAAGAAGCACTGATTACCACCTCCAGAATATTGAGATCTTCTACCTTCTGATATTATTTGGTTCCCTGCCACATTTCCACAGAAGTGAGAAATAATTTAGCCAGTGGATAGAAAAATCTATAATGAATATGAAGGCTGTCCCAGAAAGGGATGGTCACTCCAAGAGGAATATAGTCAGTACAATCCTTGAAAGGTATTGATAATACCTAAGTCTGTCACAGAGGAGAAGGTTGAGGCAAAGGGTCAGGGTGAAAACTGCAGCATGATACAGATTAGTGTACCATCAATATAATTTATCAAAAATGATACTGAAGTGGGCCTCCCCTGTGGCACACTGGGTTGAACGCAGTGCTGTGAAGCTGTCCACAGCCTCTGCAGCACGGGTTTGATTCCCGGCCGGACAGGGAGATACCCACATGGCATGGCAGACCTCTCTTGTCATGCCTGCTGCTCCCCTCAGCAGTGTATTTCAGCCCTTCTGCCTGTTCTGTTCCCTGCTCTGTCTATGGTGAATTCTCTCACTCTCCCATGCCTCTGACCTGTACCCCAGTGCTTGTATAAATAAATAAATCTTAAAAAAAATACTTAAAAAATAAAAACATTATACTGAAGAGAAGATGGTTTAGAGTCAGCTGTAGGAGAAAGACTGACAAAGACAGAAAAGCAAGCCATGCGCATAGATTACTGGTCAGAACTTCTGTTCGTGAAGTGAAAACATAAATATTTTTTGAAATATAAATATGTCTGAAGAAGACACTTTGGAATAGGTATAGCTCATAACTAAATGTATAGTATCTTAGTAGCCTAAAGAATGAGTCATTTTTCTAAGAGACAATTTTATACTGGTAAACTAGTAAAACCATATTTTATATTCTACCATATTTTTAAATTCCTAGATTCCCTATTAGGATAAACCTCTACCAATTTTATAAGAAATTTTTTTGAATACCATTTTTGCATGAGAAAAAAATGTAAAACAAAGTAAATTATTTCACCAACATTATTATTGGTGCATTAATACATATAATACTTAAGCCAGATAAAACAGACTGAACATAATGAAACTTCTGGATTAAATTTAGTGCTAAAGTACCACTAAAATTCTGTAAAAGCAGGTAATAAATAAACACTAACCAGATCACTTAGATGACACTGAGTAAATGGTATCTGACATGGTGTGACCCAACCAAGAGTAGAAGATGAATTTGGTGGGTTAAAATCAATACCCACTGTACTAAGTGGAATATGTAAAATATCATCCTAAAAATGAAATTCAATGATACTTATTACATGCTACCTATAATTCTATATTCAAATGTTTGCTGTATTAAATAACAAATACTAAAAATTACCTCATCATCAGAGTCAACAAGTCTTCCCAAATCAAGTGGTGGGACCCTGAAAGAAATAATCTATGCATTCCATAACTTTTAAAAATGTGAATTTGATAGTTCTAAATCCTACATTCTATATCTTAATATATATCTTTTGTTAAATTCTCAGCAACTTTATGACCTGCTTGTTAACACATTATTAAAAATAGAATTATATAAGATTATTAGATATATTAAAAACAAAGTTAATAAATACTCAAAACTTATAATTTCCTAATAATTTTACTGTACTGTTATCTGTATCTAAAGGTTATTTATATCTACTTCACCTAATCATACATACTTAATTATATGTAATTATACTGTAATATAATGATAAGCATTTCTTTCCTTCTCAGTGTTCAGGGATATTTACTTATAGCTTGAAGTCAGGTGTGGTGGAAGTATTTACACAGAACTGGCAAATGTTATAAATCAAGACCTGGTTCATTATTTTGCTGGCTCCTGAGACTTAAAAATATGGTAGAGAAAACATTAATAGTGCAGGTTAAATTTAAAAGTGTGTCATGTCTGTAAAAGTCACATTGTAAATAACAAAAAAACTGGGGAAGTATTGATGCCAGTGTTCAAAATTATTATTTGATTCAGCAAAGAAATAACTCACATTGCTCTGCAATAAATGTAAAGGTCAACCAACATTCCTTTTGGAACTATACTGGTTTATCAATTGCAATCATAGGTTGGCTACAGATGGAAAAGTTTAGCTAAAATAAAGAAACCATCCTGTAAGTATCTATTAGCTAGATGAAATTTACAATTAAGAGTAAAGTATAAAACATATTTTATCAGTATTTGTAAACTTCTTGCCACATATCTTTATATCAGTAAAGTTTATAATCAACTTAAAATATACTTAGCTTTATTTATAATAACAAGTAAAATTTATAGTGCACTTTCAGAAAACCAGGTGTTAAACATTTATCAGTATAAAACAAACTGTCTTACAGCCAGTATTTTGTATCTAGCACTTGCATCTAACTCTATGTCTAAGCAAGTATAAACATAGCTATTATGTAGACTGACAAGAAATGGCGACTATTTGCCCATTCTTAATTTACAAAAATGTCAATTGGCTCAGACCAGCAAATCACTATTTCCCAAGAAGCCTTGCAGTGTAAAACACTTGAAAGACTATAAAAAAAATCCTTCCAAATTTTAAAACGTAAAAATGTTAAGTATAAACCATAATATCTTCTAGCCTAAATATGAAACCATTAGGACCTCCCCCATGGCACAGCAGGTTGAGCGCTGCTCTGTGAGCCTGTCCGCAGCCTCTGCACACGCGATTGATCCGTGACCAGGGAGCAACCCACATGGCCAGGCAAACCTCTCCTGTCTTGCCTGCGGCTCCCCTCAGCGGTGTACTTGGGTCCTTCTGCCTGTTCTGCTCCCTGCTCTGTCTCTGTTGAATTCTCTCATGTTCCCGCGCCTCTGGCCTGTACCTCAGTGCTTGCATAAATAAATAAATCTTTCAAATAAATAAATAAATAAATAAATAAATAAATAAATAAATAAATAAATGCATTATACTAATATTGAAAAAATTGGGATATTCAAGATTAAAGCACAGATATACTTACCATTAAATTCATTTTCACTATCCCTGTTATAAAAGGAAAAGTTCTACCTCTTTAATAAATGCATTTAGCTGAATTTTATAAAGCAATATTTTTCAATAAAACATAGAAATAATATTAAAGAAAATATGAAATGAGAAGTATTAACTTTAATTTTACCATCCTACCATAAGCTACTTTAATTTTGATGTAAAAATCTTCAGGTCATTCACATGTATACAAATTTTTCCATGGTTCACAAGGATAGTGCATGGGCACGCTTGCGCGCTCGCTTTCTCTCTCTCTCTCACTATACACACATACACATATATGTATGTTAATGTATGTACATACACGCATACATGTAATTTTACTGTACTTCACTATTATCTATATTCTAAATATTATACATTGCACCAATATATATGTAGACTGAGAGAAAGATAATCTTCATTTTTTTCCTTGTCAATGTATTATAAATATTTGACTATTAAACTGTTTTAATGTGAAGTAGTGTGACTTACACAGGTAGAAAAGGATCGTGGAATAACCGTGACTTGGAATTCCATCCTTCCTTAAAATAAAGTTTAAAAAAAATAAGAGTCAGTAGGCATAAACCCTTTGTTTACATATTAAAAGAAAGCAATGAATCAATGCTAATTGAAAAAACTAATGTATCTGTTGAAGTGGAAGGCTCCATAATATGGTAACCAAACTATCCATGAGAGAAGATAGAATACTGTACTTATTGGTTTGACTGAAAGGAAGGGTTGGTTTGATTCAAATTATCAAATAATTCAAATTTAACCCATAATAGTATGAACCATAAGAGTCCCATAGCACTATCTTATTCATATTGGGAGTCAGCTGAAAACAGAGTAAAAAGCACAGATCTTGAAGTCAGATGAGTTCAAAACCCTGTCAAAGTCACTTAATCTCTAGAAGCTTCATTTCATTTGTTCCATACCTAAAAGCAGGTTAATGCCCGCTACAAAGATCTGTTGTAAGAATTAAATGATAAAAATTACAGAAACATGATTGTTAAATAGCAGTAGGTATTCAACATTTGGAACAAAACAACAAGGAAATACACATCACTTAAATGAATTTCTAATCTAAGTTTTGTATTTATTCAATATGTGGTAGGTAACAGGACAAAGAAGTTTTAAACTCACACTTAACTAAGTCATGATTCAACAATGATGTTATGAGCATTGAGAATAAAAGTCCTAACAACAAAAGCTCCTATTCTTTCCCTATCTAGCTAAAACAAAATATATATTGATAGTTTCTACTATGCTTTTTATTTTTTATATTTTCTGAAGATTTTTTTAGATAAGAAAACTAATAATTTAAGCTTAATTTTGAAAAAGAAAACCACCTGAAGCAGTGGTCAATTTTAAATAGTTATTTTTAGTTTTGGTGGTTCGGTTTTTCAACTCTAGGAAATAATGATCATAAATATTTGTGAGCATAAGTGGTCATGAAGAAAGAAATCAATTAATGGATTTCATAGAAGAGGAAAATTATATAGCATACATACATGTAATGGCTTCTTTTTTCCAGAGAAAGGCTGTGTTTGACTTGTAGGAGAAGCAGCAACTCCTTTAACCTCTAAATCCATTCAAATTCATGTATTTTTATGCAGTATACTTTGAAAAAGGTAAAATACATATGAAATAATTCTTACTACTTTTAAATATCATACAAATTATATAATAATAACACATGAAAGAAAACATATGGTTTACTCATCTTTCACCAAATCAACTTTTTGCAGGGCATTGGCATTATGTGGGATAATATTTATGGGGCAAATACAAGTATGGATAATGATTCCCCAAGGATTTCCATGACCCAATCCCCTAGACTCTGTGAATATGACAAAAAGGACATTTTGCATATGGTTAAAGTATGGATTTTAATATGTAGGGGTTAACCTGGATTAACTGGTAAGCCTAATGCAAGCACCAGAGAGTCGTTATAAAAAGGAGACAGGATGGTCAGAGTGAAAAAGAAAAGACACAAGAATGGATTCATAGGTCAGAAAGGAGTAAAGATGTTACTCAGCTAGCTTTGAATATGGATGTAGAAGCCATGAGCAATCTCCAGAAGTGTCTAGAAGAAACAAGGAATGGATTCTCCTCCAGAGCCCTGAGAAAGAGCCAGCCCTACTGACATCTAGATTCTAGCCTTCTAGGGGTGGTTTTATATTTCCTACCTCCAAAACAGTAAAATAATCAATTTTCATTTAAGGCAGCACATATGTGGTAATATTTTACATCAGCAACAGGAAACTAATGCCAAGTACCTTTTTCCTCACACAATGTGATGTACATTTATTTTCTTTACTCTTCCTAAACTTTTTTGAGTTTTGATTTTGCCAGAGGAGGCGATGAAAATATTTTTAATAAACAGTATTCTTTATATATGCAAAGAATAAAATGGAGTGAATGTTCTGATTAGTAATTATGGATGATGGGTAAAAATGTTTGCAAGTGGATGTTGAACTAACTTGCAAGGACATATAAAATAAAAATCAGATGATTATCTCTGTCATCCAAACTTTATATATCTTATAGTTCAATCTGATGTAACCAAGGATACCTTTTTTATTTCACTCACATTACATTTTTCTATTATACACTTGCAATTATTCTAATAGTAAAATATTTTTGTTTTATTTTTATATAAAGATAGCATGTGCTAGTTAGTGCAAGCTTGGAATCACACAGACTGACTTAAAATCCTCATTTTTGGTGCTTTCCCATAAGGTATGCTTTGCTGGTTAAGAACTGAATCTTTCTGGGCCTCCCCTGGTGGCACAGCAGTTGAGTGCTGGGTTGCAAGGCTGCCTGCAGCCTCTGCAGCGCCAGTTCAATCCGCGGCCACCGGCAAGGGTCCCACCAAAAAAAAAAAAAAAAAGAAATGAATCTTTCTGAGTTAATATTTTTATATGTAAAATTAGTTTAATGCTAACACCGTTTTCATCCTTTCATGTCATGTGGAAAATAGTTAAACAATACATTTAGCCATCATCATCATTATTATTATTATTTAAAAGCACAATGAAATCCTCTTACCTGAAAGAGTCCCAATTTCTTACTAGCTTATCTAAATGGCTCCCTTCACCCCATTTTCATAGCCCTAGCCCCTAGAAATCCCATACCCTAAGCCTGGAATTCTTCTAGGAGAGTATTCAGGAAGACTTATCAACCAATAACAAACACATTTTAAAGTCATCACAATTTACTAGATTTGAAAATACTCCTATAAGGGCCTCCCCGGTGGCGCAGCGGTTGAGCGCTGGGTTGCGAAGCTGCCTGCAGCCTCTGCAGTGCCGGTTCGATCCCCGGCTGCTCCCCGGCCACCTAAGGAGGGTCCCACATGGCGAGCAGACCTCTCCTGCCGCCCGCTGCTCCCCTCAGCAGTGTACTTCGGTCCTTCTGTCTGCTCTGCTCCCCGCTCTGGCTCTGGTGAATTCTCTCACCCTCCCGCGCTTCTGACTGTACCCAGTGCTTGTATAAATAAATAAATATTAAAAAAAAAAAAACTTAAAAAAAAAAAAGAAAATACTCCTATAGTTCTAGCAGATGGCTTCTTTTCAGAGATATCGTTCACAAAGAAGGAACTTTTTACAGTTCTTATTGGTTTGGTGTAGGGAGAGGGATTTATCACATACAAGAAGTGCTGTACTCACCGTGATGATGAGAGGTCAGCAAGCAAACCCAAGCTGGAGAGACCAAGAGACGGATGCTGAGTCATCAGCGAAGTGAACTCCACACATCAGCCACACAATTCATTATTTATGCTTTAGTAACTATTACAGCTATTTCAAACCACTATCCATCACTTAAAATCATATAATTTTTGTGCAAATCATAAAAACAGCAAAATTTAAATATTCAAATGTCCAAGTCCTAACAGTTCTTGCACTTCCACCTGCATGACAGCCAGCACCACTTTTTTCAACTCTCTAACAGCCCATGGAAATTGGCATCTCATCTCCTTTCTATACCAGATACTTAATATTTATTTATTCAATAAATAAGTTAAATACCTGTACACATTTTAAACATATTCTGATTAGTTTCATTTCTCTACACCCAAGAATGACATGATCACATTTAAATTTTGTCTTCAAACAACTAGTGAAAGCATTTAAAGCAAGAATGATATTCAGTGGTTATTATTCTCCACTATTCTAGATGCCTCATAAAGGCAACCACCACTGGCTTTGCTTGTCCAATCTCTCAGCACTTAGCAGAAAGCCTAGAAAACAATAGTAACTTAATAAATATTTCTTAAATAAGCAAATTCCACTAATCCTGATAATGTTATTTCAGAACTACACCGAAATACAAATCGTTCTGTCTCCAACTCAATGGCGGGCAGCAAGTTACTAGACATTACTTCTAGCATATGATGAACGCTGTTAACTAACAGATCCAACTCTTACCATGTTTTTGGTACAACCAAAAGTAACTGAACTCATGCCCATTTTAAAGGAGGATTATTTCCAATTCCAAGGGCCACCTCTCTCTCTCTCGGTGAGTAGTATCAGTAGCTCTAATTCTGCTTACACGAAATCAAAGCAAACAATAAATTGACCAAATCTAACCCACAATCAAAGACAATGAAAACGCGATTTGTGATACATTTTAATATTAAAGCATGGGGGGGGGTGACAAGCCTATTTTGGAGTACAGTTATTTAGGAGTACACTTCTAATTTCAAACAAAGCAGAGTAATTACCCCCATATCACCCCAAAATTGTGATCAAACTTCAGGGCATCTGCAAACGCACCAGAATGAACGCTCGACCTTCTCCCTATCTGGGATTCACCATCAAGGTGGGACAGAAGGATAGTCAGGGTGACTAGGCCCAACCAGCTGGGTAAACCCAGAACCAGAATGGCAGAGCTGGGAAAAGCATAAGCGAGAGTTACACGACCGAGAACACTCTTCGGACAGTTTCACACAACACAAGCTGGAAGGGGATAGCAACAGGCAAATGCTCCACTAATCCAGACAGGCGTCCTCAGGTTGCCTAGCAACAAGAGTCTCCGCGCAAGTCCTCTAAAGCCTCTCAACCACCAGAAAAAGAAAAAGAAAATGCCTCCGCTCAGGGCCTTTAAAGCCCCTCAACCAGCAGGTCGTTGGCCTTAGTCTCTCCCTCCGTCCACGCCAGCTCCCGACTCCTAAATTTGAGGCGCCAGTCCCGCCGCCACAGCGGGATTACTCACCCCACAGCCGCAGGTGAAGGTACAGGTGCAGCCGCCCGAGACTCTGCACACCAGCTCTGCAGCGCCTCCAAATCCCGGCGAGGATCTGGAACGAACTCACTCATTGCGGATTATCCTGAGCGGAGGACAGCCAAAGCCTGGCCCGGGGGTGGGGGGGGGGGGTGTTTATTCTTCATTTAAATGAATTCCGTGTAGCATATTTTATAGAGCGTTATCGGGTATTCCGTTCCCAGGCTGAAATATGGAGGAAGAAAAAAAATAAACACATGCTTAAATGTTAAATAATTTGATATGAAGGTGCTTTACGGGGGTCTCTGCTGCCGCGCGCACTGCCGGGTGCAGGAGGATGAAGCCAGACAGAGCGCGGTCCCCAAGGGCCTGGAAGACTGACTCACACAGCCGTTACTGGTTGTGCTGTCTCAGCATCCCACCATGGTTCTAATGGGAAAATTGAGTTGTCTATGGACCTTAATTCTCTTTCAGGTAGTCAGAGACTCTTCCCCCAAGATACCATCCATCACGGACAGGGATTTTATAGACCAGTGTGTCAGGACCCACAATGAATTGCGTGGCAAAGTCTCACCCCCAGCAGCCGACATGAAATACATGGTGAGAGAACCCGGCTGAGATCTTACACCTGTGGTTACATCTAAGGTATCTGGATGGTAAATTACCCGGATTTATTCATGAATTTGGCCTGCATATTCAGCATGCTGTCAAAATCACACCTTGGATGTCTCCAGGGAGTGGATGAGAAAGGAAAACTTGAAGTTGTTCCTTGCCTACACCCAGCTACCTTTTGATGGGGCAGGGAGAGATATGAGGGGGGAAGGGGGAGGGGAGAAGAGGAGGGTGATGGCAGGAGTGGAAGTTGTTTGGTCTGCATCCCTAAGGCTCCTGTGTAATTCCTATAAATTCCTCTCCCTCATATTTTGGCTAGCACTTCCCAGGCACACAACCAATATACCACACATTAAATAAATAGCACAGGGATGGAGATTCTCTTGTTCTTTCTTATTTTTAAATCCTATGAACTTGCAGTTGAAATAACACTCTTGTATAGTATTCATTTGGGGAAAAAAAGTTCTACAAGGATGTAAATAATGAAATCAGCACTAGAAAAATATCAGACTTTCCTTTTCATGAAAAATAATAAATATGTGAAGTTTAACTCCAAGAAACATTGAACTCATTTTGTCTTTTATAGGCCTCCATCACACAGACAGTAAGGCAAAAGAATATTTGTCTATTGAAGTGAGCAGATAAAACATTGGATAATTAATATCATTCATAAAATTTACAAACTTTAACAAATTCTTGACTATGAATTTATTGCTGGGAATTTCCCTTACATTATAATGTTTTCTTTCATGTACATTTGATACCAAGAAATCGTAAGTGTCCATACCATTAGTCTTGTTTCTTCAAATGCTAAGATAAACCTACTCCTGTTACTCCATCTTGGCCAGAGCTGAAATGCCAAATGTTGGCTAACTCTTCAACAGGAGTTTCTCCTGTCTTCCACGACTGAATCATCCAGAAAAACTAGGCACTTCATTCCTCATAACAATTTCTACATGCCAGTATAGACTATGTTGTGTTAACAAACAAACCCTAAAATATTTTTCTTTTTTGATTGACATACAGCATTGTATTACAGTGTACAACATAACAGTCTGCTATATGCCTATACTGTGAAATGATTATCACCATAAGTTTAGTTAATATCTCCCCACACACACACACACACACACAGATACATTTATTCTTCTTGTGGGGAGAATTTTTTCAAATTTGTGAATTTTTTTCAACTTTCAAATATACAGCACAATATCGCTAACTATAATCATACTTTACATCTGAAATGACATGCTGTAGTTTACATTCCTCAAACTTATTTATCTTATAACTAAAAGCTGTAACTTTTGACCACCTTCACCCATTTTATCTATCTCCCCCCCCCCCAAGCTCCACCTCCAACAGCCACCAATCTGTTGCCTGTTCCTGTTAGTTCAGGCTTTTTTTTTTAGATTTCACATTTAAATGAAATCATACACTATTTGTCTCACTTAGTATTTGTTTCACTTAAAACAGGTTTACTATTTCACTCTCACAAAGTCTAATACCAGCTACACTATTCTCCATATTACCTCTTCCCCATGCAATGCCTTCCCTGATTATATCCTGGTTCCATCACACCAACTCATGTTCTTCAGAGTCAACTTTAAGACTAGAGGATTGCACAGGGGATTTTCTTCAAAGTTTGCACAGTTCATATTTTTCTTGACTCTGAAGAGTATTCCTATATAATATCAACAACAATATTCATAAATCTATTTACCATTCAGTTAAAGAAGCCTTTGGTTTAAGAACACGTGGCAAAAGATGTAAATGTCCAGCGTTGTGGGTCACCCTGAACCTGTGCTGAGAAACTTTTAATAATAAATTGTGTGTGGTGTTTGGTGGGGGCGAGTGGGTTGTTGTTACAGAGAGAAAGAGAGATGTGATATCTTATAAAGGCTAGAATCCCTCCTGCCTAGGTCTCAAGGGAACATGAGTTCATATTTTTATTATGCTGTTCCCCTCTTCCAGCACTAAGTTTTATAAGATGTCAGTCTAAGCAATAGTATGAAATAAACCGTGAAATGTCAGTGGCTTAGCAAAACAAAGTTTAATTTCTTATTTGTGCCAGCTGTACAGAAGGTGATTAGGATTCAATTCTTCTGAGACAAGGGGGGCTTCCTATCCCTAGCAGGTTCATTGATAGGCAATAACAAGGGCTCCCAATATGAAGCATAAGAGGGTATCTAATGAATTTCTTGCTATTCTAAGATAGTTTCCGTCCTTTTCTTGTCATCTCTTCACCACATATCATTGAATATTACTTTTATATTAGAAATTTTATTAAGAAATTGCTGTTCTTAATTGCAAATATTTGTTTTGCCAGAAGTGATTTAAAATAATACAAATAAATTTTAAGGTAAATGTTCACAAGGTTGCAGGGAATTAGAACAATAGTGCACTGTTTGTGAGAATGTTAATTGTGCTGCAACTATGGAAAATGGCATGCCAATGATTCAAGAAATTAAAAAATATAATTATCATGTGATCCAGAATCTCACTTTTGGGATATATCCAAAAATCATTGAAATAAGGATCTTGAAGAGAGAATCTTAAAGCGATATCTACACCTTCATATTCATTGCACTGTTCACTACAGGCATGCTAGAGAAACAACTCAACCCAAATATCCATCAACAAATGAATGGATAAAGAAAATGTTATACACACACATTATATATACACACACACATATAATTACACTGTATACATTTGTATACATATGTATACATATATAGAAAGAAAGGCCACCTACAGGTATATATGTATATATACATATATACAAACAATGGAATATTATTCAGCCATGAGAAGGAAGATCTTGCCATTTGTAACAGCATGGAAAAGCATGCTGAACATTGTAAGTGAAATAAGGCAGTCACAGAACAACAAGTACAACATGATTTCACCTATCTGAAGTATCTAAAATAGACTCAGAAGCAAAGAATAAAGTGCTGATTGCCAGGGGTTAGGGGGCAGGGGTGGGGAAATTGGGACACTGTTGTTCAATTCAATTTCAGTTATATTCAATTATATAGTTTCAGTTATGTTCAATAAATAATTTCTAGAGATCTTCCATATAGCGTAGTACAATATAGTTTACTATATTAGTAATGGTTTACTTCAAAATTTATATACTTACACAAAAATGAACAAAACCAAAGAGACATAAGGAAACTCTTGAAAGGTCTTTTTATATTTATTACCTTGATTGTGGCATCCTGGCTGAACTTCCAAATTTTGGGTAAAGACATAAACAAAGAAATTCATGCCAAAGTACGTCATAATCAAACTTCAACAAATTTAAGACAAAAAAAAAATTCTGTAAGAACAGATGGAGAGAAATAATAATTACCTATAGGAGAGAAACAATTTCAATGTCATCAAATTTCTCATCCAACTCTATGGAAACCAGAACAAAGTGGCACAACATATAAAATTTCAACTTCATTTTCAAAGTGTGAACTAAGAATTCTATCCAGAGAAACTAAGACAACTAATTCTACTCAGGTGAAACTAAGACATAGCCAATATCAGAACTAAGACAACTTATCATGAGCCAAATTTCTCTAAAAGAATAGCTAAGGAAGGTTCTTCAGTCAGAAAGACAATGCAGAAACAACAGGAATGAAGAAGGAACAAAGAAAAGAGTAAAAATATGACTAAATATAATAAATTATACTTCTTTTACATTTGACAGCTAAAGCAAAAATTATAACATTGTCATAAATGGTTCTTAATGTATGTAGAAGAAATATTTAAGATAATTTTATTAGATTAAGTTCTGCAAATACAAAAAGGAACTCTCATATGTAGAGTACTAAATGACTATTTCTGAAGCACAGACAAAAAGAAATTACCAACTATGAATATACTGTCAAAGAAAAATTCTTGTTAAAATAAAATTTAATTGACTACAAGTTTCACTAATCCAAAATAAACACTCACAATTTTAAATTATTTTTATCTTTCAGACTTGGGAAGCCGCCTTAGCGAAGGTTGCCAAAGCATGGGCAGACAAGTGCAAATTTGAACACAACAGCTGTTTACCAAAACAATATGGATGCCATGCAATGTTCCAATATATTGGAGAAAATATCTGGTTAGGTGGATTGAGAATATTTTCACCAAAATTTGCTGTTAACTCTTGGTATAATGAAACTGCATTTTATAATTTTGATACGTTATCATGCTCCTTAATTTGTGGCCATTATACACAGGTGAATATTTGACATTTTATTAATTAGTTCTCACTTATGCACATTTCAGTTACAATGTTATTAGCATTTCCTTTGAACTTCCTTTTTTTTTTTTTTTTTTAGATTTATTTATTTATTTATTTATACAAGCACTGGGTACAGTCAGAAGCGTGGGAGGGTGAGAGAATTCACCAGAGCCAGAGCAGGGAGCAGAGCAGGCAGAAGGACCAAAGTACACTGCTGGGGGAGCAGCGGGCTGCAGGAGCGGTCTGCGTGCCATGCGGGACCCTCTTCTGGTTGCAGAGGCTACAGGCAGCTTCGCAACCCAGTGCTCAACCGCTGCACCACTGGGGAGGCCCACCTTTGAACTTCTTTTGAGTATCTGGAAAACTACCTTCATTGGGAAGATATTTTTACTGGGAATAGAACTCTATATAGTGAGTTTCTTTTGTTGTTTTTTTTAACATTGAAAATGTTATCCCATTGTCATTTCACTTGTATTGTTTCAAATGAGAAATCTATAGTAATTCTTTTATTTATTCCTTTGTATGTTGTCTTTTCAATCCGATTCCCTTTAAAATTATTCCTTTATCATAATTCTCGAGCAATTTCATAATAACACTGCAGTTTTCCTCATGTGTTTTTGTTTTTATTTTGTTTTGTGCTACAGTTGACTGAACTGTTTGGAATGGTAGGTCGCTAATTTAAATCGAATGTGGAAAAATGTTGGCCATTGTTTCTTGAAATATTCCTGTTGCTCCCTCTGCTTCCTCTCTTCCCAAAGTCCAGTTACCCATGAAGAAGGCCACTCAAAATCTCCAACAGCTAATTGATGCTCTCTTTTCTGTGTCCTTTTTTTTAAAGATTTATTTATTTATGCATACAAGAACTGGGGTACGGGCGAGAGATGAGGTAGGTGAGAGGATCAACCAGAGACAGAGTGGGGAGCAGAACAGACAGATCTACGGAAATACACTGCTGAGGGGAGCAGCGGGCAAGGCAGGAGAGATCTGCTGCTTCAAGTGGGTTGCTCCCTGGCAGGGCAAAGGATGGAATTCCCAGGGGATGGAACTCATGCTGCAGTGGTGACAGTGGCAGTGGCAACAGCTTGATAGCACTTCTTTAACCCCTGCACCACCAGGGAGGCCCCTTTTCGGTGTCTTTATCTTAAATTTCACTAACCTTTTCTTCTGTAATTTTAATCTACTGAAAATGACTTTTTGTTTTCCATGTTGAAGTTTGTATCTCTAAAAGTTTGGTTTTTGTCTTTTTTATATTGTCAATAACTATATCTAGTATGTTTAATCTTTCATCTATCTGGTAAAGCATATGATATACAGTTGTAATAATGATTTTGTTTTCCTTGCTAACTCTAGCACTTATGTTAGTTCTGGGTTATTTCCAGTGGCTTCATTTTCCTTCTTCATTATGGGCCAAAATTTTCTATCTTATCACATTGGGTTTTTCCTTGTTGGATGCTGGCCTTATTTATGTACATGAAAATGTTCTTGAAGTGTCTTCTGGCATACAGTTATCTGGAATTTGTTTGATCCTTTTGGCTCCTGCTTTTAAAAAGTGTCAGGTGGAAGGAAAGCATTTTTTTTTTTCTGCAGTGAATTATCTACCAGTGAGGTAAGCTTTTTCTGTATTGTCTCCCAAAAGCCCCAGATATTATGAGAGCTTCCTGCTTGCTGCTGGTAACAAGCTTATTCCTGGCCATGCAAAAGCCTCAGTATTGTTTCCTCCTGTTTTTAGAAGAGGTTCTTTCCCAGGTTCTTTCGCAGAGGTTCTTTCTAGATTAATTTCTTCACATGCATGCTCTAGTTAGTGCTGTGGTGATGAGGACCATCTGTAATCATTACAGTTATGTCACATCTCCAGTATTACACTCTCTAATCTCCTGCCTCTCCAGTCTCCACAGACTGTCTCTCAACTATGTGAATCCATTAAGCTCCTCCTGGCTTCCCCACACCCCACCCTCAACAGCTATGTCCTACAAACTCTCTCAAAGAAGTAAGCTGGGACAACTGTATAGCTCGTATTCTTTTCTGCTGACACTCAAGTAGTATTATCATTTGTTACCTAATATTCACTATCTTGAAAAAGATTAGTTCTTATAATTTTGGTAGGAAATAGAATTCACTATTTAGCCAAGCTAATCCTAAACATGGCATTGAGCTCATAGGAAAGTCCCTTCAAACAATATTGATAGCTAACTTTCTTTTCCAAACTTACTCACCTGTGTAAGCTGAGCTAACATTATTTTTTGTTTTGTTTTGTTTTGTTTTTTGTGGGACCCTTGCCGGTGATCTGGGATCGAACTGGTGCTGCAGAGGCTGCGGGAAGCCTCGCAAACCAGCGCTCAACCGCTGCACCACCAGGGGAGGCCCAACATTTAGTGTTTTAAATCAAGTCGTTTTTGCCAGAGGTGCAGTGAACAAAGAAAGTAGCAGCTCTCGTACTCCCTTCAATTCACTCTTTGCCCAAAAAACAGGATACTGTAAATCTGGAAACCCTTCTGAGGATAGACATTTGCAAAGAATATATTTTGGTCATTGCTAGAAAATGAAAGAATAGAATCAAATGTTAGGTGTCCTAATAACAAGCAGAATGCAACATTCCTAATATGGCATCAAGGCCGGGTCACAAGCTTAACACAGTCCCTTGTCTTCACTTTTATTGCAAGAAAAAAAGGAACGCTACTCCCTTTCTCCTAGCATTGCTACATCAGAAACAGAAGTTCATTCCTCAGGGCTAATTTACACATATGCTTAAATAACTGGGAGTGGGTGAGTTATTCTCATTATTGCAGCTACTACGTCTTGCTTAGTATTCTAAACAAAATGAGCTAAAGGTTTCTTTCATTTACCATCCACAGAGGTTCATATTGAAGTAATAACCAATGTTCAACCCCTTCAATGAAAGCAATACGTATTAAACTTAAATATAGTCAATATTTTTACCATTCCCAAAGCAAAAAAAAAAAAGAATAATGATTTAAATATATTAAACAAATAGGATTTCATAGTGTAGTCAGTTATTCATGAACCAAAATTTTAAACATTGGTTTATTTTTTAAAATATATAAACTTGAAGCCATACAATTTATTCATATTCTAAAACATCACAATGGAAAGGGATTTTTAAAGAATCTAGCTTAATTTGATTTTATTAAGTGGGAAATTAACTCAGAATTCATCTGTCACCATGGTTAGTTGCAAAATTTTGTTGCAAAACTCTGTTCATTGTACTTTTGTTGCAATCAAAGAGATATCAAAATATATTTTGGAAAACTGGCTAAACCCAGACCATGGGAAATAATTACTAAGAGATCAGTTTATAAGATATGTTTTAATATATTTTCCAAGTTGAAAGATTTATGTTATCAAAATTTATATTAGTTTTCCTTGGATTTCATTTTCCAAATGGAGTAAATCAGCATTTTTTTTAGGGGGAGGGGAAATGAAGAAAAAAATATGCCATTGTCACAAAGAAATAGTAATATTCTTCACTTCTTTCTCTCTCTCCCTGTAGCTCCTTTTCCTAAGAAGTCTTTTTACTTTGCATAGCACGGTTATCCCTTGCAACTAGACAAATGAGAGATTCACCATCTCCATGGCAGACATGTTTTGTCAATAAACAATATATTCTTATCTGTCTTCTATTTGTCTCTTATGATTTAACAAAGATAAGAACATGGTTAAGACCAAAATATAGTGGGGGCCTCCCTGGTGGCGTAAGAGGTTAAGCACAGCACCATGAAGCTATCAGCAGCCACTTCAGCCAGGAGGGTGACCCACATGGTACAGCAGACCTCTCCTGTCTGGCCCACTGCTCCCCTCAGCAGTGTAGTTCAGTCAGTGTGCCTGTTCTGCTCCCCACTCTGTCTCTAGTGAATCCTCTCACCCCCCGCCCCATACATCTGGCCTGTTTTTGTGTGCATAAATAAATAAATCTTTAAAAAAAAAACACAAAATTTTTAATGCGATCATAAATATATTCTTTCTGAGAAAAAGCAATAAAGTCAATTGTTTATATTTATAAGCTGTTTTTAATATTGCTGATATTATATGCCATGGATAAAATTAAAATATACATCTCATAAATCATCTAGAAGAATTATTGTTGTTTATTATAGATAATATACTCCATTTGATTTATGAGAATAGGAATTTATCAATAGGGAAAAACTAGTGAAGTAACTGTCATGAGAGAGAGAGTAGCCTTCACAAAATAATTGTTCTAAGCCAAATAATAGATATTGATGTACATTTATTTTTCTAGTATGACAATATTATTCCTGTTTTTATAATGCATTAATTGGCATAGAGTTGTTTTGGTATTTTATTTTAAAATTCCTTTCATTATAGGTAGTTTGGGCCAAATCAAAGAGAGTTGGTTGTGCAATTTCATTATGCCCTAACTTGGGAAACGATCAAACATCAATATTTGTATGCAACTATGCACCTCCGTAAGTTATTTGCAATCAAAATATATTTTCAATTGATGTTAAAATATTTTTAATTTATGTTTCAATTAATGTTTTAAATACATATTAAGAATCATTTCCCAAAGTAAGATCTTATACTAAAGAGATAATATATTATTTATAAAAGAAGTCTGCCTTTACATTGCTAATCAAAAGAAAGAGATCAAAATAGTAAGTGATAAGAGAGTGTTACATGTGTAAAGAATTATAACTGTTATGAAACATTTAAACTTGAAAATGGAAGACACTGCTAAATTGAAAAAAAGAGATAACAGAAAATGTATTGCCACAGTAGTAGCTAAATAGTGGAATACAAAATAGGTTGGCAGAGGCTTCTCTAAGAAAACATAACTTGGAATGAGTCAATTATTTAGAAAGGTGGTGAAAAGCACCTTCCTCTAAGAACAGAAGTCCATAATTTTAATTGCCTTTCTGATAATTGTACATGTAAATGGAAATACAATATAAACCTAAAAAGACGTTCCAAAAATGAAATTCTGGAACTCTATTCCCAATAGAGCTGTACAAGGAAAAAAAAGATAAAATCAGTTAATAATCCAACTCTTTAACAAAAATTAAAAAGGATAAAATGTACAAAAGATGAAAACAAAGTCAAAGAATAATTATAAAGAACTGGCAAGCAAGAGCTAAGTCAAAATTGGTGTGAAGAGGTACGTGTGTGTAAATATCTTTCTGAATATTTTTTTCATCCTCTCTTAGAAGCAAAAACAAGAACAACAAATTAATAGTCTTAAAGTTTGGAGCAGAGTACAATTTTTATAAATACTAGAGACTGAAGAACTACTAAATTCTTATTATCATCTAAAATAAAATACAGAGAGAAAAGACTCCACAATTGATGTAAAGAACATCAGTTGGCTATGCGACAACTTCAGTGGAAATTAATATTCTGAAAGAGGTGGGGCCAAAAAATATTTGAAGTAATTTTTCAAGCTATCAGGAAATTATAAATTCACAGATTCAAGAAGCTAAACAAGTCACAGTCACAAGAAGCACGAAGAAAACTATACAGGGACTCCCTGGTGGCGCAAGGGGTTAAGATACAACCTATGAAGCTATCCGCAGCCACTGCAGTATGAGTTCAACTCCCAGCCAGGGAACTACCCACATGGTGCAGCAGACCTCTCCTGCCTTGCCCACTGCTCCCACTCTGTCTCTGTGAATCCTCTCACCCCCCACACCTCTGGCCTGTACCCAGTTCCTATATGCATAAATAAATAAATCTTTTAAAAAAAAATCTACACAAATTCACCTGATAATAAAAAATTCCAAAGCCAGTAACAAAAGAAAAATTATAAATGCAGCTAAAGGACAAAGGCATGTTAAAAACAAAGGAGCAAAGATAAGGATGACAAGAGAGTTCTCACTGTAAGCAATGCAAGAGAGAAGACAGTAGTTTCTTAAACTATCAACTGAGACTTCTAGATCCTATGAAAATAGCTTTCAATAAAGTGTTTGCAAAGCACTGGGAGAGATAACTACATAGGTAAAAATGTAGGATATTTTTCATATTATTTTATTCTTTTCCAAAGATAATTATATAATGCTCATCATCAGGGAAATGTTAATCAAAAACAAAATTAGATAACTTCTATGAGAAAAGCCCACATCAAGAAGACCAGAAACAATGAGTATTGGAGAGGATGTAGGAGGGAAGGAAAAGTTGTGCAATATTGATGGGAATGCAAACTTCTCCAGCCTGTATGGAAAACAGTGTAAAGTTTCCTCAAAATATTCAAGGTAGGACCCATTCTTACTGGAGTGAGGTAGTATCTCACTGTAGTTTTGATTTGCATTTCCTTGATAACTAGGGATGGTCAACATATTTTCATGTAATTGTTATCCATTTGCCTTTCTTCTTTGGAAAAGTGTCTTTTTTGTTCTTTTGCCCATTTTTTGACTGGGTTGTTTGCTTTGGTTTTGCTGTGTTCTGTAACCATAGAACTGAGGCAGGGCTTCCTTGCTCCTTCTCCCTGGCCTGGTTCCACCTGCCTGGGAGTCCCACTTGATTTCTGTTCCTTTTTTCCATAATAAACTTTCATACAGCAAAGGAAGGGACAGGAGGGGTGGCAAATTAGGCATGGTAAGAACACAAGGGAATATGGTGATGGTTCATGGGGATAAGATGACAGGAAAACTATGGGGACTACAATGATGTAAGAAAAAATTTAATTAGTAAAAAATTAATTAAAAAAATTAAATGTAGACCTACCATATGATCCAGCAATTCTACCTAAAAAATATAAAACCACTAATTCAAAGGGATATAAATCTGGCAAAAAGCATGTACACAGAAAACTACATAAAGTTCAAGGGAGAAATTAACAATGACACAAATAGAGAGATATACCTGGTTAGTGGGTTAGTAGACTCAGTATTGTTAAGATGCAATTTTTCACTGAATTGATGTACAGATTCAATACAATCACAGTGAAAATCCTAGCAATCTTTTATTAATGAAATCAGTAAGCTGATCATAAAATTCATGTGAAAACACAAAGCCAAAACAACTCTGAAAGATTAAATTTGAAGTTTCAAGAATTATTAAAGGTAGAATAATCACATTAAGAAATTTATGTAAAGTTAGACCAAAAAAATCAGTGGAATAGAATACAGAGTACAGAAATAAACCCACCTATGATTTACCACATACTTTCAATTGATTTTACATAAATGCACAAAGCCAATGAAGCAGAAAAAAATTTTTTTTCAATAAATGATATGGAAGAATTTATCATGCAGATATAAAAAAAGAGAAATAAACTTGGATCTATACAACATATACTCTTCACAAATGAACCCAAAATGGATCACACACCATGTCAAACTAAAACTAGAAAACTTTTAGAAAACATAAATAAAACTTGTGTCACCTTAAATTTTTAGCTTAATATTTTGTCACCAAATATTTTTTAGCTTCCACATCAACAGCATTATCCACAAAAGAACAAATTAACAAATTGTATTTTATTAAAATTAATAGTTATTACTGTTCAAAGACACTGGTAAGAGAAGCCACAGACTGGAAGGAAATCTCTGCAACACATCTATATCAAGTCAAGGACTTATGCTGAGAATACATGCAATCCCTAACTTATGATTGTTCAAATGACAATTTTTTTACTTTAATGTTATGAAAGCCATATGCATTCAGTAGAAACAATATTCAGATTTTGAATTCTGACATTTTCCCAGACTAGCAATACACAGTTATTATATTTTCTGATCAAGCAGAGCCTAAGCTCCCAGTCAGCCACATGATCACCAGGGTAAAAAAGGGATGTGGCCTCTCTCCCACTTGGGGCCTCTGTACCTGTTTGTATGGCCTCTCTCTGCACCTGTGTGTGTGGGTGTGAAAGAATTGGATAAGGCACCCTGCATGACTGCCTTAAGACAATGGCCCACATCACAAGGCAGCCAGGGATACCTAGGAAACCATTGACCAATTGTGTAGCCATGGTCTGAGGTGCTCTGGGAGTAGCTCAGAAATTACACCAAGAAACTGCATGGGAAGTCCTCCCTGTATATGTCATTTGTCCTCCTGTTCCCCATAAAGTTGACTACTCTTTGTCTTCCCTGGGCCCTGCTGCTCTTGCCATTGTCACATAATCAATCATGATTGTCTATTACTGCTAATAAATAGCAAAAGAGCTGCCCACTGAGCAGCAGAGTCTTGCCTTGCAAACCTGTCCCACGACATGTACCTGCTGGCACATTCCCGACCCAACTGAGGGAAACCCCATGATATAGTGTTTGTTGGCCTTTTTGTTTGATGTTGTTTCCTGGATATTGTGTTATATTTTCAATGCTTCAAACATTCTTCAGGTTTACTGTGCTTTCAGAAGTATATGACAATGTGAGAATAGATTCAACCATTCTGTTTTTCACTTTCAGTACAGTAGCCAATAAATTACATGAGGTAGGCAACACTTATTATTTTGTGTTAGATGATTTTGTACAACTGTAGGCTAATGTAACTGTTCTTAGCACATTTAAGATAGGCTAGGCTAAGCTATGATGCTTGGTTAAGTGTATTAAATGCAGTTTTAACATAGGATATTTTCAACTTACAATAGGTTAATTTTATGTAACCCCATTGTAAGTTAGGGAGCAACTATACAGGAAGAATGCTCAAACTCAAGACAACTTAAAAGCCAGTTTTTTAAAACTGGACCAAAAATTAACAAAGAAGATATGCAGGTAACAAATAAGCACATCAAAAAGAGTTCAATATCATTAATTATTAGGGAAATATAAATTAAAGCCACACTGAATATTATTAAAAAAAGAAATAAAACTGCCATACACTGGCCATTCCAAAACCCAAGGAGAATGTGGAGAGACTGGAATTCTCACATGCTACTGAGGAAAGCTAAAGTTTTACAACTGCAATGTAAAAACAATATGGTAGTTTCTTAAATAGTTAAACATACATGGACCATATGCATGGTGCATTCCACTCCTAGGTATTTGTGCAAGGAAATGTATGTCCATATAAAGACTTACATATGATTGTGCAAAATGTGTCTAGTAAAAAATAATAACAGTACAAAACACAGTGAAGCAAAAATGGACAATTATAAATCAGAGACATCCTGCAGGGCAAGAGGAGGGAGAGTAATGAGAGGGAGGGAGGGAGGAGTAAAAGGAACTGAGGTGGTGGTGCATGGTGCATTAGTGAAGGAAACTCTATGGGGACTACATCTGAGGGGGTGGGGGGGCAGCAAATATTGTTTAAAAATTAGCAATAATGTAAAAAATAAAAAGTAAATATATTTTAAAAAATGAACAATGGCGTAAATTTACATAAATTATATATAGAAATTTTAAAAAATTTCCTTGCTTAGTAAAACTGGCACCTACCCCACCCTCCCAAAAAAAAAAAAAAATGTGCCTAGTAACTTTATTTGTAATATGCAACTACTGGAACAACCCAATTGTCCATCTGCACATGAACGGATAAATAAATTGTGGAATTTTCTTTAATTCTAAATACTAATTTTAGTATTTCCTTAATATTACTCATGTTACTAATGTTTTTCTTTATGTACTCTAGGTAAGTAACATTTTTTAAGCCTTCCACAGACACAGATGGAAAATAAGGCATTTGCTAAAATACATCCACTTATATTATTGCAAAGCAGGCATAATAGCTGTAAAATCTTTTCGATACCTCACCAAATAGAGCTAATTAAGGACTGTGATATTGTATTTTTAATTTTAGATTAAACCATAAGTTTTCATTTGCAATTTAAATTTTGTGTATTCCATTTATTAAATCAAATAGTAATAGTGACTGACTGCAAAATCTTTGTGACTGTCACATTAATAATTACATTGGGTTCACATCTAATTTGTGTCCTAAAGGATATTCAAGAATATAACTGCCACAAGGAGTAGGGACATCCAGTCAGGAAGAGTTTTAAGAGTCCAGCAATTTCTGCTTAAATAAATTGTGACAATGTTGTTCTTTTCTCCTTTCAAAACTCATGACTTAGTAACTAAAACAATTTGCATTAATGCATGCACAAAATTAGAGAAATTAATATCTATATGGGCTAATCAATTTTCTTTTTTACAGAGGAAATTATCCAAATACGCCCCCTTACACTAAAGGAAGACCCTGCTCTATGTGTGAAGGAAACGATACTTGTGTAAACAAACTCTGCAGCAAGCAAAAAGGAAAAAAAATAAGCATAACATTCTATTTGGAAAGCAAATCTTCCATAAATTCATTGTATTTTAAAATTTGGTTCAAGTTTTTAGATTATAGTCAAAATTTGATTGCTACTTTATAATGACATAAACCATTTGTCATAAATATCATATTTAAACTAGGATAATCCCTCTCAGACTAAAGAGGAGAAAGGAGTGAGGTAAAACTATAATCTAGTTTACTCTATGCCTGAAATAACTATTGATTGAAATGTTTATTTGTATTTGTGTCCATTCACCTCCTTTTATTAGATATTATTAAAATAGTGGCTCACTCAGAAGTAATACATTAATTTATATCCAAATTAATTATGGTTTAAAACTAATAGGTTTATCTTCCGTTATCAGCCTTTGTTCCTCAAACTAAAGATAACTTTTTAAAGATAAATATATAAATTCTTGATTGAGGACAGTGAAGTGGATGAAGAGATGATTTGAAAATTGTGAAAAAAGAGAAAAGAAGTGGTGACATGAAAGACAGACACAAAAAGAATACATATTAAATTATTCACTTCATATAAAGTTCAAAATCAGGCAACACCTAATCTAGCTCTGGAGTCAGGTCACAGTTTCCTTTGAAGAGAAAAGAGGGATTACTAATTAGAAGACACCAGGATTTTCCAGGCCTATGTTTTGGTTAACTTGGTGTGTTCACTTTGTAATAGAAAAGTGTAATAAAAAGATCATAATAACAGGATTTATCAGTTTTCCCACTTATGAGGTATCCATGTTTGTATTCATGTTGTATTTCAATTAGAGAATGAATTGGAAGTATGATCCCTCTAATTTCAGATTCTAATTGAAGCAGTATAAAAAATACATTGTATACATCCTATACGGAAACTCTGTTTTCCCATCACAGGGATCTAAAATTAACAATAATATACTCTTTTTATTTTATTTCCCCTTCCCAGTATCCAAGACACTGACATTTCACCTGAATTACTGTAGTCTCCCATTTCATTTCACTCCCTGCTCTACGCTAAATATGAAGAAAATCAGGTCATATCACTTTTTCTCTTAATTCCTCAATTGCCTCTTATTGCAATTATAGAAAAATCTGACTGCATTACATGGCTGGCAAACCCAAGTGTGGTCTGGCTCTTCCCCCTCTCTCTGAAAATTTTTATTAACCTTCCTTTGATATAATAAGCTACAACATCACCACCCTCAAATATACAAACCTTTTCCTCTATCTCCAGCATCTGAATCACTTGTGGGTCTATTTCTAGTTTTGAGAATGTTATGTTTAGTTTTCTCTTGATTGTAATAATATGCCCAGTTTCTTGGTATGGTGAATTGTCTTTAACTTCACCAACAATTCCTCCCATCAAGAAGTGGAAACTATTTCTCCTCTCCTTGATTTTGTCAAATTTAAGAGTCCTGACAGTTTTGACTTTTGCTTTTTTGGAAGCTCCCCAGCATCTCAAGAAATCCATGTTCTTCTGCTGGAGAGGTTGTGTGGAAATGAGTGTGATGTTTATAGAAATATCTGGATACCCAAAACTCAACATTGTTTTCCAGGGACTTTAAATAAGAATGGCAGAATGTCAAAAATATCATTTTGCCAGTTTTAGACTTTTGTGCTTTCAATCTAAGAGGCATGCAAGAAATACTTGGTATGAAATTGTTGGCAGGACATTATTACAAAATTATTAATTTTATAAATTTTTTGTAGTTTAGAAAACAAAGAAGCTTATAAACATCAAAGTGTACATCAAAATACTTCTGTATTGGTTCAATTATTTCTTCCCCTTAAAACTAAATTGAGCTCTGAACTGTTGTGTATGTTTGTATGTGTTTATGTGTGTTTGTGTTTTTTTATAGGAGGCGCAGACACAGATGCAAAGTGGAATTCAGCATCTCAGTGCATACCATATACAGCAATGTGCCTAATTTACAGTCTTCTGAGGGTATTCTAATCAGCATGTATATGCAAAATAATTTCTCAGATATGACAATAAAAGAACAGTCTATGACAAAATATAACTTTCATCTGTTTAATTATCAAAACTTCTACACCCTTATCTGGTATCCAAATTTAATGTTTTTGTAATTCAAAAGGTGTAGCATAGTAGAAGTATAGCAGTAAAAAAAATCTTAATTTTTAATCATAATTTCAGATATAACAACAGTTCCATTCTCTAATATCCTGGATTATCATATTAATTACAGTAGATTAAAAAACATTTGAGATATCTTTTTATATGCCATTAGTTTCCTTAAAGAATACATATGATCAACATATTTCAGAAACAAAATGTTATTAAGAAAAGTTGTAGATAACAAGCAATACTGTATTATGGTCATAATCAACTAACTCAAAAAGGAAATGTTAATATTTGAAAAGTAAGCATATGTTCTGAAAATTAAAATCACATTCCTTGAGGATATTTTATTTTTAAATATGCTTTGTGTAAAATAACAGGGTGCAGATACTATGGCCTTTAAAACCTATACAAAATTATCTGTAGCGTGGTTAGTGGTTAGCAACATTTCCACAAAGCAAAGAATTAGTCAGTTTTAGCATTTCTTTTGTCTGAAGAACAAATTTTAAAAACCCAAACAATTCAATTAATCCAGTTTCAAAAACCACTTACACTGAATTGTTGACTCCTGTGAACTAAGTATTCTAAATTGTTTTCTTAAAGTAACCACCATCTTCCCTCAGCTATAATTTTTTTTTTAGATCCATCTACACAAGAACTGGGGTACAGGCCAGAGCTGTGGGATGGTGAGAGAATCCACTAGAGACAGAGCATAAGATCTGAAACCATAAAATCCATAGAAGAAAACATGGATAAAACATTCCATGACATTGGCTTCAGTGATGTCTCTGGAGACTCCAAAGGCAAGAGAAAGAAAACAAAAGCATGCAATTGGTACTACATCAAATTAAAAAGTTTCTGTACAGCAAAAGAAATTATCAATAAAAACAAAAGACCACCAACTGGATGGGAGAAAATATTTGCACATCATACATCCATCAAGGAGGTAATAGCCAAGATCTATAAATAATTCATACAGGGCCTCCCCAGTGGCAAAGCGGGTTGAGCACAGCGCTGTGAAGCAGTCTGCAGTCTCTGCAGTGCAGGTTCGATTTCCAGCCGGCCAGGGAGCAACCCATATGGCCCAGCAGACCTCTCCTGTCTCACCCGCTGCTCCCCTCAGCAGTGTATTTCAGTCTGCCTGTTCTGTTCCCTGCTCTGTCTCTGGTGAATCCTCTCACCACCACCCCCACACCTCTGGCCAGTACCCCAGCTCTTGTATGAAGAAAGAAAAGAAAGAAAGGAAGGAAAGGAAGGAAGGAAGGAAAGAAGGAAAGAAAATTCTACAAGATCCCATTTTCTGAGAACCACCATTACTAGCAAGTGCCAATTTAATACTCTGACAAATAGTTCTTCAAAATCAGACAACATAATTCTATAACAATTTCTTTTCATGTATTCTGTAACACATTTCAATTTATCTGATTTGAGGAAACATATGCTTTTGTATGAATGAGACATCTGAAGAAGTCATAGTATAATGTTTAAAATCAGAGGCTATTTTAATTATTAATGAAAAAGTTAAATTAAAAATCTAAGAAGATAATACAACATAAAGAAAAGTATACCCTATATATACAAATTTACCTTAGCCTATTGCAAACCACAAGGAATAAATGACATTTAATTTTCATAATGCAATAGTTAAGCTAATAGCAATAGTTTACTAAAGAAATTACTCCATATATAATGAAATGTCAGAGAATATGCCTAATACACGGGACTAGTAAAAGTGCCTAACACTTCCCCCTATAATTGCATTATTCTCTTTATCTTGTGCTTTAAATGAGCAATGTTCAAAGTTTAACAACACTACATAAAAAAGGAAGCCCATTTTTCAACACTTGCCACCACCACCCCCAGCAATAGGCTCCAGTTATACTAAAACTCTTAGCCTATTACAAGCTTTCCCTTTGTTTAAAATGTGTTGTTTGGGCCTCCCCTGGTGGCGCAGGCAGTTGAGGGCCGCGCTGTGAAGCTCTCCACAGCCTCTATAGTACTGGTTCAATCCCACCCAGCCAGCAAGGGTCCCACATGGCACGACAGACCTCTCCTGCCGCGCCCACTGCTCCCCTCAGCAGTGTATTTCAGTCAGTCTACCTGTTCTGTTCCCTGCCCTGGCTCTAGAATCCTCTTACCTTCCGCTCATCTCACCTGTACCCCAGATCTTGTGTAAATGAATAAATAAATTAAAAAATAAAATAAAATAAAATGTGCTGTTTCACCTGTGTGCTTCACCATCTTGATGTCATATTCTCTAGAAAGACCTCCCTGATCCTCAAAAAGAGTATTGCACCGAACATGCTGCAAAAGTATCTTGATTTTGTATTTATCTCATGGAATAAAAGTTACCTATGTACTAGTTCTCTGAACTGTAATCTACTTGGAAAAAGGGTCTGTGTCTGGTCTTGCCGCCTGGTCTTTCCCAACCACCTAACATATTGCCTAGTAAATACTTACTAAAAGAATAAGGGCATAAATGAAGCCATCTTTTCGGACCTACTGCTTTTTTCAAAGCACATTTAAGATTTTTGGCCAACAGTTGAAATGCTTTCTTTGTAGCAAAATTCTGTCCCAGTATCAATGACTTTGAGTATCTCTTTGATGCTATTAAATACAATGTTATAAAGCAAAGCACATGTATTCCCAAAAAAGAAATTCTTTTATTTTGTGTCTAGATGGTATATTCTTCAAAGCAAGCTTTTTTTGAGCAAAAGGTAAAAACACCAGGTCATTGAAAGAAAGACATGAACACAAAAATGAATTCAACCTTGTTAGGAACAGGACAATTTGTCAGATAAATGAATCCTGATATTCAGGCTACTATACAGTACTAGTGAGAGAAGAAATGGATATATTTCAACCTTATGAGAATCAATGATCAGTAGTCTATCCCCTAAATGCTGAGCTTTTTATTCTTCCATTTATTTTGTGGATTCGATAAGTAAGTAAGCAAAAAATCTCAGTTAATGAGGAAGTCCTTTTTAGAGAGAATATTTTCTTGTTGTTCATAAGGAAAATAATAGGATGCGACCTGCATCAAATTTCCAACAAGTAAGAAGGGGAAAAAATAATGGAATTTTCGTCAGTATCGCTGAAGAATGATCATTTCCTCTTCCATAACTAGAAGGTTCCTTTAATAACATGTTAATAACTTAGCAATTGACATGTAAAAATGGCTCATTAATAAACGGTGACACAGCATTTGATGGCAGAAATCCACCCTGAATAACATTGAGCTACATTAACTCAGTGAAAAGCCTGCACCCACTTAACTTACGCCTCTTTGGCTAGACAGTTAAAAACAAGCTTTTACCAGCCCGCATTTCTGGCTCTGCTCCAACTTCTCGCTTCTTCTCCTAGGCAAGCACCGCCGCGCGCCTTGGCAGGGCACCCGGGCCGGCGTGCGCGTGACCACGGCCTGTCTGTGGCCGGTAGACCATGGAGCCCCGAAGGTGGTCAGCCCGGGAGTGGGCCGCCCCGTCTCACCTACTGCCGCGAGGGGGCGTTTTGAAGCTGTGGCTCTTTGAGTTCTGGCTATTACTTCTGGGTTCAGGTTTGAACGAGGGATTCTTGCCTGATGAAGAGGATGTGGACTTTATCAATGAGTACGTGAACATCCACAATGAGCTCCGGGGCCAAGTCCTAAGGGTCTTTGCCCCAATTTCTGATAACCTTTGTCACTATAGACCCTAGCTCTCAGCCTCGGAAAGTCTGGGCCACTGATCTTTAGGGTCAAAGATCACAGAGAACTTCACATTTAGCTTGGGTTTTTCTTTATTCAAGTTTGAACAAAGGAAAGGAATTTGGAACTATCTTATATGTACACCATTATGGAAAACAGTGAAGAAAGTTGCTTAGGAACTTGGATATGAGATTTAGCTTTCCAGATTTAAATGCAGGCTCCACAATATACTGGTATTAAGTAGCTGGAAGTAAGTTATTGAACTTATTTGTGCTTTAGTTAATTTCTTTGTGAAACCAAAAGAGTAATAATAATGTATAGGGTTATTGTGAACATTAGGTGAAATAATGAACAAAAATACTTAGAATAGTGACTGTAAATAGTAAACATATGATGTGTAAACAATATGCAAAATCTAATAGGCTATTACTAGTGGAATGCTAACATAATATGCAATCTATAGTATTCAGTATCACATAGAGTTTGTAAAACATTGGATTGGTGCAATTGGCAATTGTGCCAATTTGGAATAGTATCTCCAAGTGAAAACCAAAAGTTAACAAGCCAATTATATCGGGGCATGTGTGTGTGTGTGTGTTATGATTATAATAGTGCAAGGGAAAAATATCATAAAGTACCCATTTTAAACATTTCTGATGTTTGATGTGTGTGTGTATATATAGGTACAAAGCAATTGTTTTAAAAATGGTATTATGAAGGCCTATTTTGCTTATCTTCTATAATATATTTTCTATTATTTGTTTATAATCTATGAAAATAAAATAATCTAAGGGAATCTTGGTATAGTGTGGGTTCCTATGAGCTGAGCACTCACAGGCAACTGTGACCTATTTCCTATGTGCTAATCACAGCAGAGCATTCTTTGACTACCTACAGGAGTGTAGTCCTTATCAGGAGGCAGGCCTGGGACCACCCTAGGCCGCTCTTGATCTGATTACGTGACTGTCTCCATGGTGGTCTTGTTATAGGACAGGGAGAGGGGCAGCCCAAAAACCCTGCAAACCTGCCTATTCTAAATGGGTTCTGCCATCCGCCGCATCAACACAAAACATAGGAGACTTTAATGGGAAGGAACTTTAATTAAACTAGGAAACAATACAGGTAAGGCAAAGAGTCTAGTTTCTAAATGAAGCACCCAAAGTTACCCATCCCCTCGTGGGTAAAAGTCCATCCATATGGGATCGGCCCAGAACAAGGCCCCAAAGCCTGCTACAAGTCTAAAGCATCTTCCAGTGGGGACCCACAGCAAAGGGTCACAAACAACCGGACAAGCCCGGAAGGAAAAGAGCAAAATCAACATCAAGATAAAAGCTGCCATTGTCACCTCCCCACGGGTCTCACCCACATCTGTGTCACCCAGTCCACGACCAAAAGACAAGCGCAGTTTCTTCACGTGTCTCTAGGCTCCATGCACCTCCTCCAGGTCTCCTGGCTCCATCCTGCTCCTTCCTTCCTCAGTCTCTTCTGCAGCTTCTTCTCTCCCTGCTCAGCTCCACCCTTCCTTGGGTGGGGCAGGGAAGCTGGAACCTCCCCCTTTCCTGGGGACCACCCTGTTACAGTCTCAGATAACTCTGCCTGTGATAACATCATACTTTGCTGACGCAAAGATCTCTTGACTCATGATGTCCCCTTCCCTGTCCCTCATAAAACTTTGTCTCTCATTCCTCCACCCTCCAATTCCTTTGACTCCAATCCCACCCTCCGAACTTTATTCCTCATACAACTGTCACGTGATCAGCTTTTACTGGCCTGTGTGCTTTCAATAAGTGGCACAAGAACTTCTTTTTTTTTTTTTTTTAATTTTCTAGAGGCATGTCTTATTTATTTATTTATTTATTGTTTGTTTGTTTGATACATGCACTGGGTACAGTCAGAAGCGTGGGAGGGTGAGAGAATTCACCAGAGCCAGAGCGGGGAGCAGAGCAGGCAGAAGGACCGAAGCACACTGCTGAGGGGAGCAGCGGGCGGCAGGAGAGGTCTGCGCGCCATGTGGGACCCTCCTCTGGTGGCCGGGGAGCAGCCGGGGATCGAACCGGCTGCAGAGGCTGCAGGCAGCTTCGCAACCCAGCGCTCAACCGCTGCGCCACCGGGGAGGCCCAAGAACTTCTGCTCAAGTAGCAGAGTTTTGCCTTGCAAACCTGCTCCAAGACTGCTTTGTCCCTCATGGTGTTCTCACCCCAAAGCCTGAAATTTTTGCTGCTACTTTTTAGATATATTGTAACATATGACCACAATATTTTGGTTTTACAACTTAATTTGTTGATTTTATTGATTTTTTATGTGTTTTGTTCTTTTTCTTGTGATTAACTATAAACAGTGGACTCAATGAGACTCTAATGACAAAGGCACACATTTCTGGGGACATAGACTATCCCTGGTAGTCTAACAGTAGACAATCAGATGACAAAATTTAGGTTTTACTTCTTATTTTACTCCTCACAATAGTTTGCATATAGTCCGTGTTCAAAGGATAGTTCTTAGATAAATATTTCAAATGATTACTATGTATGAAAAGACTTGAGATTAAAAATACATATTCTGAACAGATTACATGTAAGAGTATACTGTTTTGAACAGACTACAAGATTATTATAATCATTTGCATCATCTAACAATCTGATTTAATTATAAATATATGCATAGTCCTTTCTCTCAAGGTGTAGTAGTTTGATTTATGATTATCTCCAAAAACTTTCCCTGCATAGAAATTCTGCAAACAAGATCCATCTGCACAAATTTAAATGTGTTTTCCTTAAACTTAACTGTGAACATGCAAGGGAAATAATTTTGAGTACACACAAAAAAACTCATTACGTTGTTTTCTTTGCTTTTTGCATTTTTTTTAGACTTGGGATGTAGCTTTGTCTCGGACTGCTAGAGCATGGGGGAGAAAATGTTTGCTTCAGCATAATAGTCATTTAGAATAAGTAAAGACGGCCCATCCTGTATTTAATGGTATTGGTGAAAATATTTGGGTCGGCCCTGAAAATGTGTTCACTGCAACTATTGCCATTAGAAGTTGGTATGAGGAGAGGAAGAATTATGACTTTGAAAATGACACTTGCAAATCAGAGTGTTCTAATTATCTGCAGGTATAATAATTTTTATACTATTAATTCAATAGATGTCTTCATTTGCTTTACTGCCAAGTTTTTATTGATGATGTTTCAATTTTATAAATAAACTTAACTGGTAAAAATTATCACTTCTAATAGAATAAAAATTCTAAGCAGTTCTAAATCTTCAGATGTCTATAATTTCATCTATTATGTGAACCATGCAATTAAAACAATCCTTTAAATCTAGTAAATTGGATCCCCTATCCAAAGGTGAAAGGTGTTTTTCTAAAAAGAATGTGCATTTGGAAAAGGAAGTAAGCAACCAGCAGACTAATTATTTTAAAAATACTGACCATAAATATAAAGAAAAGATTTGGTATTTTTATGTTCAGTATACATACTACTAAATAACTGATTGATTAAAATATTTTAATTCAAATTAATAGTTTTATTTCCCTGCCTCAGGTCTAACAATTTACCCTGTCACTTTATACTCTTTTGAACCAGTTTTTATTTCCTATATATGCACTAATTATTTTATATATCACCCTCTTCTGTCTTTTTTATTCCCCAATTCCACTCTCTTAGACACTTTTCTTTACTGCATTTGACTTCACATTAACTGCTGTAGACATTCTACTCGCTAGTCTTTTAATGCATCACTGTTTCTTTAAGAATCACATGTTTAAAACCACTAAGGTTGTGGTAAAGAGAAAAGGAAAAACAAAAATGACTCCTGTCTCTTCCACAGAGTTTAACAAACAAGTATTTTTTTTCACTTGGAATTAATGGAAGTAGCCGTACAGAAAATTTCAAGAATACTTTCAGTTATTCTCATATTTTCACATATCAAGACTTGCTTTTCCTTTTATAGACCTGATCTTTTTTTTTATTTTTTAAGAACAGCCCTTTCATTTTATAATGGAATTTCCTCCATAAGTGGAAAGAGAAATGTTAATAACATTCCATTACTCTCTATCTTATATTTCTTTTCCCTCTCTTCTATAATCTTGGGCCTTTCTTCGCCCTTCTATTCACAACTTTTTTTCTTCCAAAATCATTCTCCTCTCTTTTCCCTTTTCTTTCTACCAATAACATAGCAGTTTCAGATACAATCTGAAGTTGAAAATTTATTCAGCAGGGATGCCTTCCTTTGGCTCTACAACATCATTCTGGGTTAGTGTTTCTCAAATTCTTTCTCCTATGAATACAGAATTGCCAAAACCTATTAAAATATTTCTCTAAATAAAGTTTTAAAACTTCTTCCCTAAATACATGACAATTTTCTACCTGCATCCAAATGAAGAATAATTTATATTCTCAAGCTGCTTGATTAAAGTTTTATGTGGATTGAATATACTATTGCTTATAGCATGCAAAATAAATGTTTGGAATTACATTTTATGTTTTCTCTGAAATTTTTATTTTAGGTTGTTTGGGATCTCACTTACAAAGTTGGTTGTGCTGTTACTGCTTGTGCAAGAATAGGACGTATTCAAGATGCAGCACTTTTCATATGTAACTACGCACCAGGGTAAGCAACTTTAAATTAAAATATATATATATTAACATTGTATATTTTTCAATATTAAACTTTTCTAGGTTTCAATATAGTCTTCTAATGTCTCTGTGAACTATAAGTTAAATATAAGATATTAAAGATTGTATATTGAGATATTTTCAATTATATCTTGAAATGAGTCTTAATACGGGCATGTAACATGGGCATTTTGTATATAGACAAATCAATTACTTCCTAAAAGATTTTAACTTTAGTATTACTTCATAATCTAGCCTAATTAGCATAGGATTGTTAAATTATGTATTTTAAAATTAATTTCCAAAATAGATTATTCCCTTATTTAAAAAAGGCAAAAGAAAATAAGGTTAGATGTGCTATAATAATTGTTTCAGGAGTACATCAGTTCTTATTACTTTAAGCATACTTTTAGTTGACTATCCTTTAGAAGTTACATTAATAATTGGCACTAGTTTCACACATGTGAGTCATTATAATATCTCAGAGTTGAAATAGTACTTCAAAAGTCTTCTTGTCAAGTTTTCCATACAAAACTTGAATTATTTCCATTTTACTTACCATGCGAATATTCTCTATTTGAATACCTTTATGTGGTGAGAAATAACTACCTTCTAGAATAGCCTCCATGTCTGTCTGGAGGATAGAAAATCTAGCCTCCTAGTCTAGAAAATCTCAAGCTCTCTTTTGGCCAATATGATAACAGAAGTAGTAGCAGTATAATGTCCAGCTATGTGAAGAAATAGCCTAATTAGTATGTCAGATAAACAGGAAAAATTAAAAAACATGTTAGAATTAAGAATGCATTTCTGTTGATAAACTGCTTTCAAGACTAAACCCAAAAGAAAAAGAATATTGATTACTGACTGTATGTCCCTAGATAGGGACAAAAACCTAACCATGATCTAATTGAATTAGACTCAGAAAGGCCCTTCCTGCTGTAAAACTTTGCAGACTTTGAACATAGGCACCTCAAAACAAGTTTGGGAGAGTCATTGCAAATGTTTTTTTTAAGATTTATTTTATTTATACAAGAACCGGGGTATAGGCCAGATGTGCGGGAGGGTGAGAGGATTCATCAGAGACAGAGTGGGGAACAGAACAGGCAGACTGACTGCAATACACTGCTGAGGGGAGCAGCGGGCAAGACAGGAGAGGTCTACCGCACCATGTGGGATTCTCGCCGGCTGGCCAGGATCGAACCCATGCTGCAGAGTTTGCGGACAGCTTCACAGTGTGGCGCTCAAACGCCTGCGCCACCAGGGAGGCCCTGCAAAAATTTTTAAGCCTCCTTTCATTCCTACACACTAGAAGCATTGGAATGTTATCTATTATGTGGAGAAACTGGAAAATTGACTACCAATTAAAATTGAAAATTTAGACAGAGAACTAGGTACTGGCGGGAGAGGGAGAGAATGGATTCATTCATCTAAGGTACCATTATTCATTTATGTACTCGACATTTATGTACAATCTATCTCCTGTTCTATCTCCTAATAAGACAAAAAAATTGCTTACCATATTTAGTTTATAGTTTTAGAGGGAGATGATAAATGAACACATAAATAAATACTATTTACTTAGGTTGTGAAATATACCGTAAAATATATCGAAATAAACAAATAAATGATAGCTAAAATCAAATACAGATTAAAAAAAGAGGTGGCATTTGAGCTGAAAGTAAAATGAGAAAAGAGTGGCTAAAGAATGTTTCAGATAGAAATAACAACATGTATAAAATCTCTGAACTTAGACTGAGTTTAACATGTTTGAGAAATAATAAATTATGGTTCGAACTACTAGTTGAGGTAAATTATGTGACAGCTTAACCAAATAGAAGATCACAGGAAATACGTAGGACTTGGGAATTTATTCTAAGTAATGGCAAAACCATTGGAAAATCTTTAACAAGGGTGTGACATTACATCTTTTTTGAAAAGAATATACAGACGCAAAAATATTAATCTGACTATTGTGTTGTGAATGGAATATAGGGAAAATAGGGTACAAAGTGGAAGCAAGAACTTGCTTCATAATAATTGTTTCTCTGATAGTACAGCTGTGGTATCATATATATGAGATATCATATATATATCATATATATATATATCTCCATACAAGAGCTGAGGTGTAGGCCACAGGTGCAGTGGCAAGTGGTGGTGAGAGGATTCACCAGAGACAGATGTGAAGCAGAACAGGAAGATCTACTGAAATATACTGCTGAGGGGAGCAGCATGTGAGACAGGAGAGATCTGCTGCGGCACGTGGGTCAGCTCCCTGGCCAGGGATTGAACTGGTGCTGAAGATAACTTCATAGTGCTGATTTAACGATTTAACACCTTGCACCACCAGGGAGACCCACAGACTGTGGTATCTTGGATGAAGTTTAGAGCATGCAGATTGGTTTTCTTTTATTACATACAAATTACCACAAACTTTGTGTCTTAAAATATAACCCATTTATTATCAAATAGACCTGTAGGTTATAAGTTCAGGCACAATATACCTAGATTCTCTGCTTAGAGTCTCAAAGCCAAATCAAAGTATTGACTGAATTCTTTTTTTTTTTTCACTTTATCACTGTATTCTACAAAACATTTAAACAGTTAATACAAATTCTTTACAAATGCTTTTAAAAAATAGGAGGAAACTGTAATCAATTCATTTTATGAGGTCAGCATTACCCTAATATCCAAACCAGACAAAAGATAGCACAAGCAAACATAACTATACATCAATGTGGATCCAAAAATTCTTAACAAAATATAACCAAACCAAATCCAAAAACATAGAAAAAGAATAATATACCCTAAGTGGGACTAAGTGACTAAATTCTTATCTGGAATCTGCTTCCAAGGTCATTTAGGTTGTTAGTAGAGTTCAGTTTCATGTGACTATAGGACTCAGGTCCCCATTTCTTTTGTGAGTCCCAGCCAAGAATTGCTCTCAACTTCTAGAGCCTGTCCACATTCCTTGATACAGTCTCCGACCATTTTCAAGTCACTAAAGACACATCAGATCCTTCTGATGTTTCAAATCCCTGGTTTATCTTCTGTGACCAGCCAGAGAAACTCTCTGTTTTTTAAGTTACCCAACTGATTGGATCAGGTCCACCTGGATAATATTTGTAATTTAAGGTCAACTATGCTATGTAGCATAATTAAACATGGAAGTAGAGCTCATCATATTCACTGACTTGGAATTATTCAAGACCTATAAACATTGTATGGTCAGTATGAAGGTATTCCTGTGTTGGAGGCATAAATATTAATGACTGTTAAAGCTTCTTAATGGATTGACCCTTTGATCATGGACAATGTATAGCCTGGCATTTCTGGCTATCCAATATAGATAGTAACAGATACTTTTAATCTTGGAGAAAGAGGGTCCATTGTATTCTAGATCAGTATGAAATTAATTGATTGGTTGACTAATATTTATATATTTATTTGTTTATTTATTTGCCTTTTCAGAGTTTTTCCAGGCTACAGTTATCAGACATTATGATCACAGGGTGATTGGCCTGTGCTACCGGTTTTAAAGACAGTGTTTATAGTGAGTAGTTTTTTGCATAGGTATAGAGGTAGAGGTCCTCTATCCCTTGGGTCTTGGGATAGGTAGGATATGCTCTGTTTTTGTGTTGGAGGTGTTTCAGTGATAAAGGTTTAGGGCAGGAAAAGTATACTAGGACATAGGTAAATATGGCCAGATCAATTCTTACATTTTTGGAAGGCTAGTGTTCTAGCTGGGATCTGTGGCCTCTCTAACACTTGGGGCCTCTGCACCTGTATATATGGCCTCTCTCTGCACCTGTGTATGTGTGAAAGAATTGGATAAGGCACCCCTGCATGACCGCCTTAAGACAATGGCCCACATTACGAGGCAGCCGGGGATGCCTAGGTTGTTGTTGACTGATTGTGTGGCCATGGCCTCAGGTGGTCTAGAAGTAGCTCAGAAATTAAACCAAGTACCTGCGTGGGAAGTCCTCCCTGTATATGTGGCCAACATGCCCCCTCCTGTTCCCCATAAAGTTGACTTCCCTATGTCTCCCTGGGCCCTGCTCCTCCTGCCATTGTCACATAAACAGTCATGTCTATTTTTTACTGCTAATAAACACCAAGAGGGCTGCTCACTGAGCAGCAGAGTCTTGCCTTGCAAACCTGCTCCACGACTCGTCCCTCAGCATGTCCTCAGGGTCATGCTGGGGCATTCCTGACCCAACAGGGTTCTAAAAATATAAAAATGTATTTTTTTTCCTTGAAGTGTTTTGATAGTGAAAAGTGAAATTAGAGAAGTGATATGCGATCTACAAATAACCACAAACTTCTGAGTGTCCTTGATAGACTAGAAAACTTGCTTTTCAAGGGTATCAGATAGCTAATTGGGTATCAAAAAAAAAAACAACATGACTCAGAAATTTAATATTCACATATTTGTATATGTATTTCTTCTGTTTGGCCATTCTTTTACATGATCCAGAATGGCCTAACTGAGATTTATATGCCTGATGCTTGCTTATATGTCTAACAGTGCACTGAGTAAATTAATAAGCAATCCTATTTAAATGATGACTATTAATGACCCTCCCCTCACTCAAAAATATTTTTCCATATCTTTCTTCCATATCTTTCTTATCATAGAGCTTTCATATCTACTTTTGGGCCTATTTTCCTTACTTAACTCTGCACAGTTGATGTAATAATTTCTCAATTCTAGCCTGTGCTGTAGGCAATGGATTAAAACATCTTTGTAAAAATCCCACTTAGATTTTTTCACTTGTTCATATATTTATGTTTTTTCTGAGTGGACCTTGAAATAATCCATGCATCTTGGTCTTTGAGACAATAGGCATTTCAGGATTTTGTGAATTCTTCAGAAAATAAATATATCACTTCTATAGAAGTTTTTATATACCTAGGCCAACTAGAGAGCAAGTAATTACTAAACATTCTATAGCATTCTATTTAAGGGGAAATTTTGCTGCAAACTAAGATGAAATAAAAGTGCTTTAAAACTCAGGCTTAAATAATAATGTTTTCAAAGAAAGACCTGGAAACAGTTTCAGAAGACAATGTTTTCCAAGGGGGGAAGAGAAGGGAAATATTGTGTCTCTTGCTTAAGACTTTCTTGAGCCCATTTTCTTAATTCAATTGCCTTTATAAACTAAAAATTGATGACAGTAAATTTAAACAGCACAGGATTTGAGACATTTTCTAACTAAATGTTTTTTGGTTTTGTTTTTGTTTGTTTGTTTTAGAGAACTCAGAAAAGAAAGCCTTACAAGCCAGGACGGCATTGTTCTAGATGTGACAGATATGACAGATGCACAGATCTTCTATGCAGTAAGATAAAGAAAATAACTTAAACATCAAAATAAGTATAATGCATTTTATAATAAGAAAAATGACCTGTACACTAGTTATTGTCATGTTAATATTGCACAGGATATACTTAAGCTAAAAGATTATTTGTTATATTCTAAAATTTACCTGTATAGCCTATATTTTTGTTTCTAAATCTGACAGCTCTACCAACCTGGTGTGTGCTGTGACAGCTTATACAGGATGAAGAGGGTACCCGTGTAAGGGATGAAGTAGAGGCAATGATAGTGTTACAGGGCAGCCCCGATACAAAATGGGGTGCCTGACTGTGGGTCCTCACCTGCACACTTAATGGGACTTATCAATACTCTACTGCAGGCTCACGTGAAAGGTTAATAAAAGGTTTTTTCACAAGGGAAGGGCTAATGAGGAAATGTGCAACTCAGGGAGAAAAGTGGGAGATAAAGTTTTAAATGTGTCCTACCTGATCCGCCAATCTGGAATCCCAAATAGCACTCTGAGAGTTGGCCGCAAGCCACCAGCCGTGAAGCCAGGAGGCGAGCGATAGCGAGCCCCCCAAGGCCCACGTGTTTGTTTTTTATACCCAACCTAGCTGCTTAACCCCACCGTCAGGTCCCAGCCACCTTCCTTTTGGTGGTGACTGGATTTGTCTTTCCCAGTGTCCTGAAGGCTTTGGTCTGGAGTGGGGGTGGAGTCCACAAACCTTGTGTGGGATTAGCTCAGGACATCCTTTCCCCCTAACAATTGGAGATTGGAAGCACACTGGGGGTTTGATCAAATATGCAAATAGATTAAGAATAAAGACAGCCACAATGGGGAAAAAAACAATAGACATCAGTTCTCTGACTGTCAGAAGATGGAATACAAATACATAAAGGAGGAAAATAAGCATGGATCTTGTGGTTATGAATTCGAAGTACAGGTATTAGCATGTAAGGATCAAACATGCAACTAAACATAGACAGAAATATTTGTATATGATCTATCTATATACACATACTCCCTAAGCTCAGAAAAGACCTTGGGGCAGAACCCCCAACCCCCATTCTACCATCGCCTCCCCACCCCCAATGAACACAATTAGCACCCAGACCTTGATTTCTAAATTTCAGCCTGTACTAAAAGTGAGCATTGGAGAAAGAAAATATCTAGGACAGAGGCAGGGAAATATAAGATAAATCCAGAACTTCTTTTTATATCCAAAAGCAAGAAATGCTTAAAGAATATAGAGACATGTAACCACAAGGACACAGCCTCTTTTTTTTCTTTTTGAAGAGCCCTGTTAGCCAAGTTGTGTTCACAAAGCAAAAGTTCTTGAAAGAAATTAAAAGTAGTGCTTCAATTAATACATGAATGAAAAAAGCAAAAGCAAAACAGCCTGATTGCAGATAAGGAGAGAGTTGAGTGGTGTGGTTAGAAAACAAACTAGCCATAACATTATAGCCAAGGACTAATCTAGCCCAGTGCCCTAACTCTTCAATTCTGTGAAGACCAAGAGAGATGAGATCATCTGGTGTTCTTTTAGCTTCATGCACTCATATATTTAGTTCTTTCCCAGGTTTGGGAATTTTTCCTCTATTAATTTCTTTGAATAAGTTTCTGTTCCCTTCTCTCTCTCTTCCTCTTCTTGGATACCTATTATTCTTATACTTACATTTCCTAATGAAGTCATAATTCTCATAGTGTTTCTTCAGTTTTTCTTTTATATTTCTCTTTTTTCTTCCACCTGGGTTATTTTTGTGTTACCATCTTTGAGATCAATGATTCAATCTCCCATTTGGTCTATTCAGTTTGCATAGCTTTCAAAGAATTTTTTTTATCTCCTCTAATGATCGTTTTACATCCTGCAACTCCTTTATTTTCTTATTTAATGTTTCAATTTTATCTCCTGTTCATTGACTTTAATTCTCAGGACATCCATTTGCTTTTCTGTATTTTCTTGTATATCTTTGATCATATTTTCTGTGTTTTCTTCCATTTCTTTGAATTTCTTTCACATGGCAATTTTGAACTCTGTATCTGATAGGAAGAAAAGGGCTCTAATGACTTTGTGGTTAGATTATGGAGATTTGTGGGATGCGAGGTGCCATGTATTTTATTTTTCTGTCTGCCCACTGTGTAGCTTTCCAGATCGCCATCTTTTCAAATGTCCTAAGGATGCTGAATTTCTACTTTTCCAGCAGATGGCACTGTAGGTTTTCTTTTTCTTGGCTTGGCCTGTCAGTATCTTGTGTTTTGGGGGAAAATGACCTATAGCTGCAGAGTGGGAGGTGTGTAAGATCTCTGAAGGGGTCCAGTTACTGGTGAAAATTGTACTGAAGTGGGCTTGTGTTTGTGGCACCTTTGAAAACACTCCTCTTTGGGCTTTCCAGACCTGTGTGCCTGCATCTGTCTGTTATCGGAGAACTTCACAGGTTAGCACCAGTCCTGCCAGGGAAGGGAAGGGAAGTACATCCACTTCCCTATCCTCTTCCCTGGCAACCTGGCAAGCCTGGCACACCCCAGCTCCTCCACACAATCTCCCTTCAGTTAAGAGGGTGACTCCATGCCACTCAGCTAACCCTTCTCAGAGTTGTCACCCAAATCTGAGAGTACAATTCTGAGTTTTGCATGGCATGCTGCCACCCCTTGCCATAGTCTCTAGGCAACTCTCTACCCACTTTTTGTTGTATGGAGTTGAATTTCCTCATTATTCCTTCTTGTGTGGTCAATGCTTGCCTCTGATGTCCAACGGGTACCCTAGTTTGCCCCGTCACTGGACCCTCTCAAACTAGTGGCCCTCTGGGCTACTTTTAGATTATCTTTCTGGAAACAAAGCAGAGAACGCTGTTAATGTCATATTCACCATCTCTCTATGCTTTAAATCTTAATTGATAAAGATTAAAATCTAAAGGCTATGGTTATAAAAACAAAATGTAAACATAACAAATTTTGCTAACATATACAAATGGCATAATTATTGAAAAGAGAGGGAAAAAAAGAAAGAACAGTGTACTCAATTTTCTCGTCTTTTATAACCAGAGTCCTAGAGATATCATTTAAAGCTGATAAATCAAACTATAGAGATTTAAGTAAATATAAATGTATTTCAATACTAAATCAAAACCAAAAGTAAAACAAGAATGCAATCAATGAAAATTAGTGATGAAGAGTAAATGTACTAATTATATCATGGCTCTACTAAGCTATCATTAGTTACATATACAGAGTGAAGCAGGAAAAATATAGACGATGTGATAAAAGATATTTTTAAAAGGAGCTGGAAAATAAGAATCATTACATAAAACATGAAACAATAAATAAGACTAAGCAAAAAAGGCTAAAAGCCTCAAGTATCCAACAGAAGGTTACTAACTCTCCAAGGTACCTGAATAGCAATTTCTAAATTTTCCTCTAAGGTTAGTATCAACACAAGAAAAAGCCCCTGGTTTCACTGGGCTGTCTATGTGTGAGAACTCTTCTATGCTCCCACTCTCCTTCCTAGTGACATCTAGGAATAGTCGTGTGGGCCTCTCTGCCCAGGTGAGCAAAGGAAAAGAAATTTATTTCCTGTAAAGTACAGAAATTTATTTCCTGTAAAGGATTGTAATAGTATAGGGGGCTACATAGTAAAATGATTGAATGACAGGCTAGAGAGTTAACTTTGCCATCTAGGAAAGGAAGAACAACGGACAGCTTCTGAAAATAAAAATTCTTGAAGAAAGTGAGTAGATTCAGAAGATTAATTGGGAATGATTGGGGGTAGAAGGGTGGGGAAGAGAGATAAAAATAAGATATTATAAAACCCTAAAATGTTGAAGCTGCAACAATCTTTTGAGTACAGAAGTGAAATGAATTAGATAAGGTGAAAAAAGGATTTAGAGAAAGAATTAATACCGGAATCCACAATTTCTCTTATATATCGATGTTTTCTCTAGCAGAGCAGGCTAACTTTTATGAAAAGCAAATATAATGTATTTAATTCAGGCTACTAGTTTGTGGAGCAGCAATGATGATGCCATGTTGCTTAAGAACTCGGAGAATGATGTCATGGTTGTTGGACAAATTATCTTATAGTCTAGAGAAAAGGTGAAATGACAAAATTTCTTTACGGTCTTTTTCTTTCTAGGTAATGCAGAGCGTGACCAAGCCACATGTATGTATTATTGTCCTTTATTTCTTCAATGATTTTACTAGTTTATGTGAAATCTAGCTTTCAATCGCTTCATTATTTACAGATTACAAATTTTGGTATCCAAAATGGGAAGTACCCCGGCCACTTGTGTGTGATCCAATGTGCATACTTACTTTATTACTAAGACTGGTATGCTTGTCGCTATGTACTACAGCTGTTTTGATAGTGCAGTCTCACTTTCCAAATATATTATTAGAAGAAGAAATGTTAAACAAGCTTGGGGAAACTGAAGGAGAGCCAAAAGAGGTGGAGAATAAAGTGCAAGAGGTACGGGAGAAGGAGGAGACATAGAAAAGTACTGTGAAGATTAACACTGATGAATAAACAAAGGGAAATATCTTTTAAAAAGCAAAAAATAAAAAACACTTAATTTTAGCAAACGAGAACTACTTTGCAATACGTTTTTTTCCCTCTCTCTTCCCATCCTTATCCAGCAAATTTAAATGAAACAAAGAAGCAAAAAATGTATTTTATAGTATATGTTGTAAGGCAAACTCTTGGCCCCTAAGAATAGCTAAAGATGTGATGATAAAAATTCTAAAAAGATTTGACAGTCTAATTAATATTAAGATGATACTATGTTAATCTGATAAGGGAGGGAATTTCCATTTTTAAAATATGTCTCTATCTGTATGTTTCTACATCTGTATTTTAAATATCTTTAAATGAGTTTCTCAAATATTAAAAAAGATCATATAAGATGCTTAATACCATTCCAATTTCAGAACAACCATTTAATAAGTTTGGATTATGTTGTTTTTAATCATTTTTATTATAGTTGTTATCGCTATTGGTGATGGTGGTATTTTCCATGTGATATCAAGGCATCTAATATCATTATTTATCTTTGTAATATTTGTGTTTGGAATAGTTTGAGTGGTACTTGTGTACGCTGTTAGAGGACAAATTTATTATGTCTACTTCATGTTCAGTATTTCACGAAAGCTTTGCTGTAATTCTTTTAGACTATATAATGTGTTGCTGCCAAAGACTAACAAATGTCAAAAATCAGTTCATTGTGATTGAGCAATCTGGCTATCATTTATGTTGAAAAATAAAATTCAATTAAAAATAGTTATTTATATATAGTTATTCAATAAGTATAGTAAAAGCTCACCAATTAACTACTTATTACTTCTATCACTAATAAATGAACTGAATAAAAATATCTAATGTAAAAAAATACATAAAGTGCTAGAAATTTCACATTTAGTAAACTTATTATATTAACAGCCTGTCCATAAATGAGACAAGATAAACTTGTACAAAAAGTCCTGAACCATCCTCTTGGATTTTGTAATTTCTGCGTTTTTTATGTGTTTGTTTTCATTTTATTTTTTTGTTTTATCCCCCAAAAGCTCTGCTCTAAATATATTGAGATATATTTATATATGTCTTATATAGAGAGAGATATAAACATATATATAGTTTTATGAAGTGAGTCTCCTTTCTACCCAGTCTCCTAAATGCTTTCACATAGTTATTTAATATTCAAAACCACTATGTGGAGTTAGTATCGCTTCTGTTGTTAAAAAGAGAAAAATGTCCTTTGATTCATGATACCACGTTCAATTCCCACTATGACAACTTTTTAGGAATCTACACGTGTAACTTCTCCATCTACTCTTCAACATATTCTCTAGGTTATTTCAGACTATGATTGTAAAAATCCCCATGGAAATCTTTTGTGTTGGAAGATGTACATATTGGACAGAAGTTACTTGGTAAGGCTGTCGTGTCTAGTCATTGACTGGGGTTGCCGGGGAAAAGCACAGCCTTGGCTGAGATGTTGTAGCAGATCCCAAAGGCGCTGCAGCTGGAGGCCATCAGTGAATTGCACTCCTCATGGCAGTTTCTACTTTAAAATGAAATCTTAGGTATTTACTTACATGTGACAACTTACATGCTGTCATAGTGGGTAAGAAAGGATTCACCTACAGTGCCTGACATTTTACATAGATCAAAGCATATCTGTAGCCTATCTTACTTAAACTTTTAAGGTTCCAGAGAGAATTGTTACTTCCCCAGGATGACAGCTAAGATCTGAATACAGAGTTGTTTGTTGTCCTCTTAAATTCTGCAATTCAGAAATTAACGGTACAAGGGGTTAAGTCTTAGCACTATGAATCTATAGGCAGCCACTGCTGTACAAGTTCCATCCCCGGCAAGGGAGCTAACCTACATGGCGCAGCAGACCTCTCCTGTCTTGCCTGCTGCTACCCTCAATAGTGTATTTCAGTAGATTTGCCTGTTCTGCTCCCCACTCTGTCTCTGGTGAATCCTCTCACCTCTCTGAACCTCTGGCCTAAACCCCAGTTCTTGTATGCATAAATAAATAAATCTTAAAAAAAAAAAAAAAAAAAGAAAAGAAAAGAAATCAATACCCTTGCAAATCTAGGTTACATGCTATATTACTTCCCAGGGCTAATGTAGATAAAGTGCTGCAAACTGGGTGACTTAAAATAAAGAAATTTATTCTCTTAGAGTTCTAGAGCTCACCAGTTCAAAATCAAGGTGTTGGTTGGCACTGCTCCCACTGAGCATGTACGACATGTTTTCTTGTCTCTTTCAACTTCTAATAGCCTCTGACATTCCATGGCCGTGGAAGAGTCCTTGGTTCCAACACCCCCTCTACCTTCACATGGTCTCCTCTCTGTCTCTGCATTCTCTTCTCCTTTTCTTATAAGGATACTTACTAGTCAACCTCATCTGAATGTGATTACATCTACAAGAACCCAATTTCCAAAGATCATTCTGAGGTACAAGGGGTTAGGAACTCAACATGTCTTTCGGATGAACACAACCTCACCCACAATAGATGCCTTGACCAGCGATGCTGATATCTCTCTGAATGACAGATCTTGAGGTGACTTTTATTTTTCTGCCTCCTACACAAAATAGAAATTAGTTATTTCCATTGTCTTCCAAGTCTGATGTAAAAACACAGTCCCTTCCTTCTTCATCTTTGGGGTATAGGCATGAGGTCCTTCATGGAGCAGTTGTCTTGTGACCACAAGATAAGAAGCAGGAGTGGAAAAGTCACATGTTAAGAATTATGAACCAGGAAAATAAGAAGAGCTGGTAATACTGAAATCAAGTTGACTCCAAACTTTTGCATTTCTTAACTAAGTCTTGTAGTCAAGTCACTGTAGATGAGTTTTGGTACAATTAATACACTTTCCCTCCCTTCAAGACAATCTAAAAATAGTGAAACTCAAAATGAAATATAGTGTTTAATGGACTGCTTAACCCCAGTCCTAATGCTCGTGCAAAGCTATGAGAGTCAATCATGTTAACCAGTGACTTAAAATTGGCATCTTAGTAACTCAACACTATAAGATATCTTTCTTAAAATGACAAATAGTATATATTTTATTCTATTTTCTTGTTTTTCATTTAAATCAACATGTGATCTTCTACATTTCCACATCTGTTCATGAAGTTGTAAGTTCAGTTTCATAGATGACAGGTATCTTCCTTAGAAAAGGCCTATAGGGCCTCCCCGTGGCGCAGCGGTTGAGCGCTGCGTTGCGAAACTGCCCGCGGCCTCTGTGGCGCCGGTTCGATCCCCGGCTGCTCCCCGGCCACCGAAGGAGGGTCCCACATGGCGCGCAGACCTCTCCTGCCGCCCGCTGCTCCCCTCAGCAGTGTGCTTCGGTCCTTCTGCCTGCTCTGCTCCCCGCTCTGGCTCTGGTGAATTCTCTCGCCCTCCCGCGCTTCTGACTGTACCCAGTGCATGTATAAAACGAAAAAACAAACAAACAAATAAATAAATAAAACATGCCTCTATTTAAAAAAGAAAAAAGAAAAAAGAAAAGGCCTATAAAACGAACTCACTTGTTCATGCCTGTGATTTTTTTTTTGAAGATTTATTTATTTATGCTTACAAGATCTGGTGTGCAAGCCAGAGGTGTGGATGGTGAGAGGATTCACCAAAGAGAGTGGGGTAGCAGAACAGGCAGATGTACTGAAATTCACTGCTGAGGGGAGCAGGCGGGGATACAGGAGAGGTCTGCTGGGCCATGTGGGTTTCTCCCTGGCCAGCCTATGGAACTCAAGTGCTGCAGTGGCTGGGAATAGCTTAATAGTGCTATCTTTAACCCCTGCACCACCAGGGAGGCCCTGCCTGTGGTTATTTTTGACTTTTTATTTGCAGACTTTAAATTTTAGATATCAAAGGACCTCAGACACTGACCATTAGCAAGTTTCCTATTTAGGTTATGATTTGGTTCGCTATTTTTCAATTCTTTCTCTCTGCTTGGTTCACTGATTTTGGCCCAAGCTTTTAAACCTCTTTGCAACTGTCGGCCCTATGGAATCCTGGCTGAGCCCATGTACATGGATGGGTTAATAACAGTGGTAACCACCTAGCAAGACTGATCAAGAAAAAAACAAAGATGCCAATGTCAAGAATAAAATGAGGGACACTTACTGGAGGTCCTAAAGAAAGTAAAAGAATAACAAATGAAAATACTGACTAATTTTGTCAATAGAGGTCATATTTAAATGAAATGTGCAAACATTTTACTAAGTTCACTTCAAAAATGAACATGAGGATAAAGAAGTCCAAATCATCTCACGTTAGGAAGTCTTGTGTTTTTGCAAGCTAACAAGCTAGTAAACCACAGTTTCAAGGGTACTAACACAAGATACAGGATTCCTGGGTCATGGACAAAGGATAGTATTGAAGATGTTAAAAACATTTTTGGGGGGGGCCTCCCTGGTATGCAGGCAGTTGAGCGCCGCATTGTGAAGCTATCCACAGCCTCTGCAGCACAGGTTCGATCCCGGCCAGCCAGGGAGCTGATCTACAGGGTGCAGCAGACCTCACCTGTCTCGCCCTCTGCTCCCCTCAGCAGTGTATTTCAATCTGCCGGTTCTGTTCCCCGCTCTGTCTCTGGTGACTCCTCTCACCCTCCCGCACATCTGGCCTGTACCCTGGTTCTTCTACAAATAATTTTTTTTAAATCTGAATAAATATGTTTTTTCTTATTAAAGATATATAAATGCATAATTTAAGAAATCAAGTAATCTTAAAAAGCATGTAATAAAAATTTAGTTGCTCCTGAAACTGCAGCTGAAAGGACATGCTCTTAAAGATGTTTCAGCCAAAAAAGTGCAAAAAATTTTACTTCCACAAACATTATTTGAAAAAAAAAAATAGAATAAGAAAAAAAAATGAACTAAAATGTTCACAGGAAATGACAATTGCTGTTTAAAAATGCAATTTCCTTTGGTTTGAGGAAGTACAGTCATTTTTTTCTCAGAAATGAAAAATGGGTCCTCCATGGTGGTGCAAGGGATTAGGCACAGCACTGTGAAGCTATCCACAGCCTCTGCAGCACGAGTTTTATCCCCACCCAGAGAGCAACCTCATGGCGCAGCAGACCTCTCCTGTCTCACCCGCTGCTCCCCTCTGCAGTGTATTTTAGTCAATCTGCCTGTTTTGCTCCCCACTCTGTCTCTGACGGATGAATCCTCTCACCCCCCCCGCACCTCTGCCCTGTACTATATAGTTTGGAAAATTATAAAAGCCATAATATTCCTGTAAGTACAGGCTAGTACACAAAGTTCATAAAATCTATCAGTCCATACTTGTGTATTGGTCACTATTCATACTGAACATCATGGATTATGTAAGACATCATGTCTGATGGAAATATAACACAAGCCACACATGTTATTTTAAACGTTCTCATAGTTATGCTAAAAATAAAAAGTAGGAGTAGGTGAAGTCAATTTTAAAATAAATCTTAATCCAACATATGAAATATTTCAACATGTAATCAATATAAAAAATATATCGAGGGAAACTTAATATTCCTGTTCCATGCCAAGTCTTTAAAATACAGTGCATATTTTACACTTGAAAGACTTTCCGACTGAGATGAGCCCTATTTCAAGGGTTAGCCGTGCTTGCTAACCCCTTGTGGCTAGGACTTAGGACATCAGACCAAACATATTTAAAGACTGAGCTCTTCCAAGTGTCTCAGTAAGAGAATTTACCAGAGACAGAGCAGACAGACCAA